TTATGCACAGGTTGAAGCCAGTCAAGTTCTTTCCTTGTCTATTTACTCGAGGGTGATACCGTGTTTCGATCGCCGCAACTGACCTGCATGGTACGCCGAGTTCTGTAGATGATGACGAACTCGCACTGGATGACGGAGAGCCGCAGCAGGGCGCGCGACTGCTGGCGCAGCATGGCCAGCAGCCGGCGGTGCAGCGACAGCACCTGCTGGGCGGCCGCCGCGCTGCTGACCAGCGGCTGGCTGCGGCCGGCGGCCGTCTGACTCAGCGGCGGCTGCAGCCGGCCGGCGGCGGCACGCGCCACCGGCGACGCAGAGGCGGTCGCCGCCGCCCGTCCGCCCTTCAGCAGGGCCAGCATCCTGACCTGCTGAGAGGAGACACCATTCAATGCACAACTTTTCATTGCATAAAAAGGCTCGTTGCTTATAGAATTTAAATAGGATAAATATAGATAGAGAAAAAATGGATAGATATGGTGGATAACATGAGATTTGGTTGTGAGCATCTAGGTAAGCAACAACAAAAAGAGCCAAGAAAAGTGATGTTCAAACCCTTACTAAAAATGGGCACAAACATATTTTGGTAGTGAAAATCTAACCTGTTTAGTAGCAAGATAAAAAAGTCAATTATTTCCTGGTACACTCCATTGTCTCCTATACATCATTTTTCTTTTTAAACAGCACATCAGCAGTCAGTAGAGAAGTTCTACACACTTAAGTCTTAACAGTAGGTAGGGGCTCTGGTATTAACTGGATAATTCGCCAGCTGACGCCGTATGGTGGCGCTAGTGGAGCAGCACCATATGACGTCAGCAGAAAACACCGTGAGCAGCTATGAAATGGGAGCGAGCACCACGGAAATATCGAAAGGTGATGGACATGTACTGACTCTGGCCATTCAAGTACCACCAGTACCATACAAAAACCATATAATATCATCAAGACTGATTCTGGAATCAATTCGTTCGGGTATTTAAAACACATAAAAAATGTTTGTTACCAAATTCTGAAACAGTATAAGGATATTCTTGTTCCTTACTTTTACCTTGTGGAGTACTTTTACAATACCTTTTACTTGCTTTCTAGTATGCCCATCACTATCTCAGAATCTGGATTGCAACGCTGTAGGAAAACTTTTTTTTCATTTGTCATTTCTTCCACTTTTGAGCAGTGATAATTTATTTGGTTTTATACATTAAATAATGAATACGGCTCTTAACTTTTTAGGGATCTGCAATGGCCCAGAGAGCAAAATCAGATATTTTCTAGAAACTTGAGGCCACTATTTTCTTATATGCTAGATAATATACAAATATTTACATGTAAAGAATGATACGGGTTTATAATTCTGCAGAAATATAAATTCAAAGTATTCAAAAATTTTAAGGACCGTTTTAAAATCTTCCATAATGACTTCTTTCAATACAAGGTGGAAGCAATTTCAGTTAACAATAAAGCAGCACATGGCAGTACCTTGAGGCGCGCTGGCAGTTGCTCCAGGTGGCGCTCGGCACACCCCGCCAGATGGCGAGCCGGTCTCGAGGTCGCGGGTTGCAGACACTTTGTCAAGGCGGCGGTTCACGGCCCCGAGCTGCGGGGCGCTGCGCTGCCATGCACTGCTGCATGGTTGAGCTGCGATGATCCATAGCCAATCGGCACCTGCAGGCGGCAACTGCAATTCGATCTTCGAGATGTTCTCTGTTCCCCGACTTTCCCTTTTCGTTGTACCGGGTGAAGTGAATATTCTTTGAATATTCTTCTGACAGTCAGTCTTTAGTCCTACATTATGTTGTCAATCAGATTAAATTAGTTCAAAAACCGTCGTAGTCTGTCTCATTCGCAGTCTACATCTCCACATGCGCACCCATACATGCTCAAAAGTTTCACTACGTATGTACACTGCAGTGTACCCTGATGAAAAATGTTTTGCTGAAATCAGAGACACATCCCAAGGTAGGCCATAGTGTCCATGGACATATATTTAAGTCAAAACAGATGAAACAGATAAACACAATTCCAATCATCAAGTCAACCAGCATCGACAATCTGCACATAAGTTCTAAACCTATTGCAAGACTACTTTGTATTCCAACTTTGTATTGCAGAAGGGTGGAAGCTGCATGGAATTATGCGACAAGTTCAGCGTGCATCCACGCTCGAAAGAGCAGGGTTAATTGTAACAATGTCAATACCATAACAATAACGTAATTGTAGGTGTTGTGATTCGGTTGTCTCTTGTCTGTGCTGGCCATTGCGCGGGCGGTCCAGCGGCGGAACTCGGCTTCGCCGCCGTGGCGCGCTGGCAGTTGCTTCTTCTTCTGCATCCCACCGCCAACCCGCTCAGGGGGGCGGCGGGTCGAGCGGCGGCTCGGCCCGCCCAACATCCTCGATGAAGGTGACGACCTTCGTCGCCGGGCCGCCGAGGACGTTGACCAGGCGAGGGTCGACACCCCAGCGGCGGCGGCGGGCCGCCTCATAGGCCGGACAATCGGTCAGTAGGTGCGCCGCGCTTTCGGGCTCCACGCACGCGGGGCATTCGTCGTTGGCTGCCGGGCCAATCTTGTGGAGCGTGTCACGGGTCAGCGGTGATGTGCCGGTCCTCAGCTGGGACAGCGTCACCGACCCCCAGCGCGCCAGGGAGTCGTGGCCAGGCGTGGGGTCCGGGTGCGGGTGGGCAGCGGTTGCCCTCTGTCGCGACAGCTCCCGGACATGGCGCGTGACGGCGGCCCGCGCACTCGACAGGTCGATCGGTGCGCTGTCTTGGTCGCCCGCCGTGGCCTCGCCAGCCAGGCGGTCGGCGGTTTTGTTGCCGTCCAGCCCGGCATGGCCTGGCACCCACTGGAGCACCGTCTCGGTGCCGTTCTCGGCGAGGGTGCTCAGCACTCAGCAGCCTCCACACTTCGGCGGCCAGGGCCATGGTCTGGTTAGCTGGGCCGCGGCCGAGTAGTTGGAGCCCAGACCTTGAGTCGGTGAGGAGGCGGACCGACTTGGTCGATGCCAACTCCCCGTCCTCCAGGCCGGCCACAGCCGCGAACGCCTCGCGCATGGCGGTCAGTTCTGCTCTCAGGCTGGAGCAGACCGCCCCTGCAGGAGTGCACACGGTCTCTTCTATGTTGAGGTGGTGGAACTGGATCAGCGCCTGCACCGCCCTGTTCTGTCCCGCCGTGAGCCGAGCCGTCCGACCAGATAGTGACGTCCGGGTGCGGGAGCTCTGCAATGGCTCACAGGGCAGCTTCCCTGCGGACTGCAGGCGGGTCCGACCAGCGGGTGACCACGGGCAGGTCCACCCTGAAGGTGATGCCGCCGCGGTGGCCCAGCTATGGCGGGTCGCAGCTGTAGAACGCCGAATCTGTAGCACAATAGAATTGCAATTGTAACAAAGACCTGCATGGTCAGCACACATCTGCAGTGACTGTCATCCCAAGTTGGTATGAATTGGAACAAAGTTGGGTCATGGTAGCAGACGTAACACAAGCTGTTGTGATATGCCATACCGTAGGACTAGGTCGTAGGTTGTAAATTTTAGGTTTAAGGCTGTAGGTTGTAGGTCAGGTTAGGTAAGGTTTGGTTAGAAAGACCCATTCTCGTGCATCAGGCAGCTTGTGCTACACCTACCTTACCAATACCTAATTTGAATTCCTAAAATTGATGGCAAACAGGCTTTTTGTATAACAAGTGTGGTTAATTGTTCTAATCCCCGCTGCAATGTGAGGGTGACTGCTCTTCTACAATCACAATATTTGAATTCATATAGGTAGGTGTTTACATGTTCAGAAAATGATACAAAATATGACACAATTATAGCTGCAACTGGATAGTGGATACCAACCTCTACTTTAAGTTTCTGCAGCCTTATAACCTCACAAATGACTAAATTGCCAAGATAAATCCCTTAGTACAATAGCTTGACTCTAAAATAACAGAACTTTTCCATGCAGACCCTGGAATGGAGGGTTTATGAAAAGTAACAAAAATAAACATTCACTAATATCAATATGTTGTTATAAATTTCATATGTAGCACAAGCGCCAATACTGCCTTCATTTACAATTTTGCTACTGTTTTCCACTCACAAACGCTGCCCTCCGTGGACAGCAGCAGCAGCAGTGAAACGTCACCCGTAGTGTGACATCATCACCCATGACGTAATGGAAATCCAGTTGTTACCAAGGCCCGTAGGTAGGTAAGCACCATGCTGATGCTGGGGACCACAGAGTACAGACCACTAAATGCAAACAGCATATATCTGCACACCACTCTGAAAATTTACAGGCTCACACCACCAAACATCAGCTTACTCTTAGTACCCCCACAATGATGAGTTTTCATTGATATTGCCATTCTTTGAAACCTGGGCCCTGTTCAGTTTCAATGCATGCCACTACAGTGCGCTACTCTGCTCCACAGTCTTGGTGCGGCGGTTGATACGAACTCGCCTTGATGCTTCTGTGTTGCAAGCATCAGTTTGTTGATATTTCCATGGAAACATAATATACTGCGACACATAGCATGCTGTGGCACAGTGCCATGAAACAGCGGCCGAGGGCCCACACTGAACTACAGCATCAATACCTGAGCCAAAGTTTAACGACGAAGGGTAATATGTATTTGAGGGGAGCCAGCAAATGCATTGAAACACTTTTTCTTTTCCATCAGGGTTACACGTGAAAAAGAATAATTAGATCACGTCTTACATGCGCCAGTTTACATTTCTGCAGAATATGGCAGCATTGTAGAGAGTTTTCAAAGTATGAAAGAATTTTATCTATTAACGGGCTAGCTCATTTGAATAAAATGATTGTTTATTTGCTTAAATGTATGCATAAAAAGGAACTCAGGTACGTTTTTCTCAATAAGTTTTATGAAAAAACACTCGAAGTACTGCTAGAAGGGATTTGCTAGGAAAAAATTTCCCTTTAGAAGAAATATGGTAAAAATAATACTTTATCCTGCTGCATGTCTCGACAATCGTGACGCTGAATAACGCCTACAATCTGCCCAGGCTCTAACACATGCGTAGCCGGTTAACCCTCTGTGTACCTCCTTTTGCATTAGAATTTTGCCGGCTGGACACATCCGGTGCTAGGATTTTATCTATTGGCAGTTTCAAGCTCGACTTTTGAAGGTTAAGGTGAGCGAATTGATATAGAAATAACTTGCTTTTATGAACTTTTGTTTATGGGTTCCCGTCTGCATGTCTGTTCAGTGTTAATGTTTAATGATTTAATTTTCCTAAATCTTATGACTATATGGTCAGTTTTCAGGATATTTGGCCCATGTTTTAAATGTAGAAGTAATTTAGTTCGGAAATGATTCAGGATTACTTTAAAGGGACCCTCCCACCTTAACATTAGTTTTGAGTTGAGATAGCCAAGTTTGCGGCCAGGCTCAGAAACCACCATTTATCCTGGTCGCAACCCCCGCAGCTTTATGGTGTTCAAGAAATGTCTTCCCTTTACTTGCAGGGTGGGACCAGCGTGGTCCCTATCTCTTAACCATTACGGGAATCTGATGACGTCATCAGGCTTTCGAACGTCCGTTAAATGTTTGACTAAAACGTTTTGTAGCACGCGGTGGTATATGCTGCTTTGCGCGCAACAAATGCCGCACTTTCAAATAAAGTCGCTAGGAACAGCGGAGATCCCAAAAAGTAAACAAAAGTAAAAGTATAATATCTTGAAAACCGGTGAATATTTTTCGATGAAATTTGGTAGATATTCGTTTTTGCTCTTTCTGAACCGAGCGACATCACTTTCATGCCAATTCATTAACTTTTTTGAAGGTGGGAGGGTCCCTTTAATAGTTGATGTCAAGCCCTGCCCCCGCGGCCCCCAGCACAGGAAGTCTGGATCATTAGACTCCAAAGTCCAAACACGACAATCCAGGCTGCAAAACATGGACACTGGTGAAAACAGGGTGCAGGAGGGCATATTTGGACACATGACAATTGAGAAGTTCCCCCCTTCTCAATGCCTTCCGGCTTCCACACAGCGATTGTCACATGGTTTTTGCGACTTGCGAGTGAATTTCTAGAGCCTTGATCAAATCGCCTCAGGTGCCCTGTTTTCACTGTCATCCCAAAACATGGCAGCAAGTTTGACAAGATGCACTAGCCAGGCCGGAAAAGTACACCAGCTTATGTTTATTGTTTTCCCTGCACCCACCAGGCTTGAATTATGACCTATCCTGGAACAATCTTAAGTTTAACAGTTTTACTACAATTTTATAATTCAAATCCACATTGCTCACCATGCAGGTTGGATGGCAATGTCAACACAATCTTGTCTGTAACTGGGCACTTAGACTGCACATGGTGTGATGCAAAATGCAGATTTAGTAAAAAACTGAAGTTTTACCCAGATTTACCTTGGAAAGTTTGGGCCCTAACTAAGCACTGTGTTAAACTGCTGTGCTGGCATGACTTTGTCAAACAGTGATATATGTGGGACACAATGAACCAGACAGATATTATATGCTATTGTTTTGAAGTTTTGTTATCTAACTGAATGAAGATTTCTCAATTTTAGTTGTGAATTTAATTGGTTGTGTTCAGCTGTGCAGGTGCAGATTTACTGATTTACAGCCTGTTTTGTATGGGCTGATGCAGACCTGTGGCTGTCAATCTGTGAATTAGCACCTTGGCTAGTCTGGCTTGGTAAATCTGCTGCCATAGGTACTTGCATACTTTGCACTCTTGGAGGAGCCTGGTGGGGCACAGGCTACTTTTTCTGTCTCAGTCATTTTAAATGAGTTGGTCATAAAACCTTTTGTTTTATGCTCTATTTGCCTTTGTTTTGTGCATGTTAGATTATAAGTTTCTGTGTAGTTTTGTTTTCTGTTAAATGATAAGGCTTTTATCAAGTGATGGCTCAATTGGCAATATGCATTGTTGAAAGATGAATATGGGTAGGAACTAGAATGCTATCCTTATTTCATTTGTTTTATTTTTGATTATTTATTTTCTTATTATTAATTATTTCCTTGTTATCTCAGTATTTTCTGCTGCCTCTGCCAAATGACAATCACCCTGGGATAAGCTTACCTGAACTATTGTTTTTCAGGAGACAAATGGAGGAAATAAAAGCATTGCTGAAAGAAATCCCTGGAAGAATAGGGTCTGCAAGTTTAAAGGAGCGAAAGCATGTGTTTGAACAATTGGAAAAGGCAATCAAGACAGGTATGTGATTTGAAATCTACTTCTCTTATTTTTTAGTGGCATGTAGCCACTTTCCAATTTATTTTTAATTTCCATACCTATCTATGTTGACATACCTATGGTTTTCACACTTTGAATTTGTATTTTTATTATTTACAGCAGAACTGCCCGAGCCGGCAGTGCGTGGTATCTGCAAGCTGCTGGGCTCCACGCTGCACCGCTACCACGACCACAAGTCGCGCGCGCTGGTGGCCGGCGCCGTGCGCCAGCTGGCCACCACCCACGGCGCCGCCGCCGGCAAACACCTGCCGCCGGTGCTGGCCGAGCTGGCGCGGCCCTGCAGCGTCGCACACGCCTCGTACGTACGCCTGTCATAGCGGACATCGCAGCAAATACCTAGTTGTGTCGATCATCCTTCGTTTGATATATTGCCCTAGTCAATAATGCTCTTAGCTTCACTGATTAGATATTGGGGTAAAACATATAACGCCAAGGAAATGCGATTCATCTCCACCCATTGTAAGGGCAAGATTTGTGATTTTGAGATACACATACATATGCAATTATGCATTATATTTGATATGCTGCTAGGATTGGTGCATTCGAGCCCATGCTCAGCCATCCCCAACCATATTCGTATACAGTTACGTACGAGTCGTATACCAGTCGTATACAGTATACAGAGTAGGCTCTTGCTTTCTTTGTACAGGGCTCTAAAGAAAGTCAGCTTTTTTCGCTAAGCCTTCATCGCTGTTTGGTGTTCCCTGGCCCCTGGTGCGCAGTTGTAGCCCTTTTCTGTGTTTTTTTTTTTTTCGCAGTAAGACGCTGGCGGGCACCCATCTGGCGGCGTTCTCTTGGTGCTGCACCCTTCTGGAGCTGAGTTTCGCGGCGCCGACGGCCGAACAGCGGGAGGAGTTCGCGGCGCTCGCCGGCGCCCAGGCTCGTCTGCTGGCCAGTGTGGTGGCCTCCGAGAAATCGGCTCTCGTCAGCAGGGCCCACCGCATGTTTTGCCAGGTGAGGAGCTGTGACGGCACGCGACGCCAACTGCTGGGGTGTCGCTGACTGTTAGAATTAGACTGATCGCCTGGCCGACACTGGCCGCTGTTTTGACACCAGACACTTACCACCGGACTGACACTGGCTTCTATGACACTGACTAGTGACTGGACATTGACCCTGACACTCGACTGACACTGACCTGTTTTCGTAGGCACTCCGATCGGACGCCCAGATAGCGAGCTACGTGGAGTTTCTGTCACGCTCGGATGTGTCGCTGCCCGACCTGGTGCTGGGTGCCCATCTCAGCCGCTGCCTGACCGAGAGGAAGCAAACCGAGAAGATCGCCCAGGTCAAGGTACAGTGGGTGGCTTGGGACGGGCACATGATTGTTTTGGTCGATAGGGGCGCCGAATAGTAGCAAGCATAGCCATAGACTGGTCTTGGTTTTCAACCAAGGTCCAGCATGGCGAGACTGAGGCTTAAATGACACCGAATGGGGATATGTATGTCTCGGGAATAGGTGTGGTCTTGATTGTATAGCGTATCTTTTTTGTGTTAAAGGCGACATGTGCCTATCATCTTAATTGTGGTAACCGATGCTCGTTGTGCCTTGCGCCGCTGTGGTCTGACGCATTCCGCGCGGCCTCCGTCCGCAGAAGCCGCTGCTAGCCGGCCTGGTGCGTCTGGTGGTGGGTGGCAAGAGCCGCGCGCCGCCGGCCGCCCTGCTCTACTGCGGACACGCGCTGCGCCACGTCAGCCACGCCGAGTTCTCTGGCGAGCTACTGCCGGCGCTGGGGCGCGCGCTGCTGCGCAGTCCCGAGCTGGCCGTCGGTCACACGGCCTCCATACTGGCCGGCCTCTCGATCGACCTCAGCCAGTACGCCGAGGAGCTGGCCAAGCCGCTCTCCAGTGAGTACCGATGCACCGCTCCGGCACACATGACCGGACACGGGAGACGCGTGCCTCTTGGCTCGGAGTGGCTCATTTTTGCTCGGAGTGGCTCACATTTGCTGACGTAGGAGTGATTAAAATTGATTTTGACCCTCGCCCGTATTGGTGTTTTTCCAGCCGCGAACGTATAAGGGGGGGGGGGGTCCGTTGGACCCCCTTGCCGTTTCGCCCCTGATTGAGCTAGAGTTTCGCGGAAAAAACGAGCGTGTTGCCCGTGACGGGAGGAAGCCAATGATACCCAATTTAACCCGCGCACCGACGGGGGGGGGGCGGATATCCGCCCCCCCTGAGGTTTTTCGCGAATAGCGGGAAAACCGCGGCGCGTAGCGCCGCGAAATTTGGTATGACTATTCCCTTATCAATTTTACACATGGTGTGCAAGTTTGAACCTCCTACCTTTCAAGGTCAGGTCACCAGGTCACTTTGAATGACCCAACCTCAAGTCACTTTTTTGCAACTTTGTCACCGTGCCAGAGCTACAGTAGATGTCGGAGGCCTTTGAAAGTCGCAGGATGTTATTAGGTCATTAGTAGCTACAATTTGTATATCTCGGAATTTTGATAGCGGTGACCTAAGGTCAGGTCAATTTCGTGACCTCCCCATTATAAGTCATTGGGGGAAAAATCAACTCCCTGTTTTTACCACTAAAACGGGTCGGAATGGCCCCATATACCATACATGACTTCATATACGATCAACCTTCACTACCTTGAGGTCTGTTTTGCTGTTGGGCAGCTGTGAGGTCATGTGACGTCATCAAAGGTCACCAAAGGTTTTTGGCCAATAACTCCGTACAGGAACAAGATACAGACGCGTGGATGGTCTCATTGTGTTCAGCTCGTCAAGACGCATCGAATGATATACATGATGACCTCGAGGTCACGTGACCTGAGGTCAACCTTTGACCTTGACCTTTCGAGGTCAACATATATATCATTCGATGCGGATTGACGAGAGGATCACGATGATGCCCTTAGTTTGCTCCTATCTTGACTAATTCGAGAGTTATTCGAGAAAAACTCTCTCCATATTTAGCGCCGCCATTTTGACTTTTTCGACCCCTGTGACGTCATCTTTGACCTGACCTGAAAATGACCTTAGTAAAAATTGTAGATCTTGACCGTGCGTATCCGATGCCGTTTACCGCTTGTCGCTATCTTGCTTCGTTCTCGAGATCTCAGGGGGGGGCGGTCATCCGCCCCCCCCCCGTCGGTACTAAGTTGGCGCAGACCCCCGTCGGTGCGCGGGTTAAAGGTCCTAAGTCATCGGTTGACCTTCCAGGTCAGGTCAATGACCCAAACGTCGGGAAAATCGGGACCTGTTAGAAAGTCGTAAAGCGTGGCTGCTATGGGGTTTTTCGGGGTGCTGATCACGAATGTCATGTTAGTTTTGATCACAGATGATGTCTTCATGCATTTAGGCCAGGTCGGGTCAGGTCAGGTCAGGTCAACCAGTAAGGGTATTCGTAGTAGGTAGCAACCGCCTCTGACAGCTTCGTAACATGTTACGAAGGCACCAAAACTACTTTGTAAATGTTTATATGGTTGCTAAATTCGAATTCAGCTCCAAAAACTGGCCTAGAAACATGTAAAACTCGAAAAAGTGATCCGAGGTCATCAAAGGTCAATGACCTGACTTGACCTTCCGGTGACCTTGACACCCACCCTCATGCATGGGAGCAACATCATATCCCATATTTGAACGCTTAAAACCACGAAAAGACTGCAAACGCGCTGCTAATGCGAGCTGACATAAACCGAATCGCGATTCCGGCCAAACATGGTCTCGAAAAGTAGGTCACAGGTCAAAGGTCATTAGGGTCAGGGTCATGAAAATTTCAGGGTAGGTGTAAAATTGATTAACGCGAGCGTACTGAAAGTTTCGTCGCGATCGGCCGCTTTTTACGCGAGTTATTCGCGAAAAACCGGGGGGGACGGGGGGGTCCGTTCGACCCCCCCTATACGGGCGGGGGTTAAGCTATAGTTTTATCGAGAACATGGTAACTGGTAGTTGGTTCAATATTTTTGCCTTGAAACACTGCTGATTGAATATTCCGGGTGATCATTTTCTACTTTGCATCTGTGGCCGTCTTGAAGTTTTTTTTTTCGTCTGCGAACCACACTTTTTCACGCCGATTTCTGGGTCTATGGGCCATTTGAAAATGTTGGACTCATGACTTCTCTTTTTTAATCATTCAGCAATAGTTTGACATTTTCGCTAAAACTTTTCACGTCGTTCTTGGCAAAAATAGAAACAAATAAATAAATATGTAAATAAGTAAACAACTATAAAAAGGACAATAACACCACGTAACACTAACACCCACAACCCATTATCCTAGTTATGCTATCTCCCGAAATGTCGATTATGATTCGTTGATTAACCTTTTGAAATAATAAATCATTGATTGATTGATTCATTCATTGACTTGTTCCATAAGTAGAATATCTTATTCATTCATGAGGGCGCTTGGGAAAACGTTTTTGGGAAGAATGATGTGTATACCGTCAACCGTGTAATAAGGTACGCGCCGCAGATGGAGACAGCAACAACTTAAATGACGGCTCGTTGGTCTAGGGGAAGGGCGAGGCAAAAAAATGTCAAATTATACTTGCTTTTTTATAAATTTAGTCCGAACCTTTTGATAGGAAGGATTTACAAGGAGAGAGCCACCGCTAAGGGAAGCTTGTTGCGGTGACCCTGCCCTCTATCCTCCGATCGCGCAATTCCAGGTTTATGGCAGAATTTAAAGTCCAAAGTTTAACGTGAGCACATAGCCGCGCACGGCCGGTACCCTCACTGACTTGGCCTGGCTACGGCCTGCCACCAACCGCAGCCATACCTGTCAGGAGGCCCATAAATGTAGAGCCCCGTAGCGCTTCGAACCCGGACTGTTTTAACCGGGAACGCGTGCTCCCACCACGCGGAGTCCAACGCTCCACCAACTGAGCTACGGGACCGGCTTTTGAAATGTGAACTAAATTCAGCCCAACAATATTCATCCATGGATCGATTCCTTCATTTAAGCGGTCATGGATAGTGAATGAATGGATGAATGAACCAGCAAATGAATCGATGAATCAATAAGTGAATGAATGACTAACAATAAATAAATGAATCAATAACTAGATGAATGAATGCATTAATGAACCGATGCATTAACCAACGAATGAGTGGTTGAATCAATTAGTGTATGTATGTACTATGTATGAATGAATGAACCGATGCACGAACCATTGAATGGAGTGAATGAGCCAATGAATAAATGAATTAATGAACCAATGAACCAATGAATGAATGAATGAATGAATGGACGTTGGACAGGGAATGACCCAATGAATGCATGAGCAAATAATTGAATGAACCGGTAAATGAATGCACAATTAAAGGAACAAATGAATGAATGAACTGATAATGAATGAACTGATGAATGAATGAACTGATGAATGAATGAACCAATGAATGAATGAACCAATGAATGAATGAACCAATGAATGAATGAACCAATGAATAAATGAACTGATGAATGAATGAACTGATGAATGAATGAATGAACTGATGAATGAATGAATGAACTGATGAATGAATGAATGAACTGATGAATGAATGAACTGATGAATGAATGAACCAATGAATGAACCAATGAATGAATGAACCAATGAATGAACCAATGAATGAATGAACCAATGAATGAATGAACCAATGAATGAATGAACCAATGAATGAATGAACCAATGAATGAATGAACCAATGAATGAATGAACCAATGAATGAATGAACCAATGAATGAATGAACCAATGAATGAATGAACCAATGAATGAATGAACCAATGAATGAACGAACCAATGAATGAACCAATGAATGAACCAATGAATGAACCAATGAATGAACCAATGAATGAACCAATGAATGAACCAATGAATGAACCAATGAATGAACCAATGAATGAACCAATGAATGAATGAATGAATTGTTGAAAGAACCAAACTTAAATCATTAAATGAGCTGTAACGCGACTGGGGAGGAAAATGGTTTGGCTGAATTTCGACTGTATTTTGAATCCAAGATCAGAATTAGTTTGTTTCGCGTGCAAAGAAGTGGGCTCGTCCGGGATTTGAACCCGGGACCTCTCGCACCCTAAGCGAGAATCATACCCCTAGACCAACGAGCCGCTGTGTGGGGCGTTGCAGTCTCCATTTGCGGCGCCGAGCTGTGGTTCCTTTCACCCGTGCGGCGACCAATCAAACGGTTCCGGTATTTGGGTCAGACCGGCCGGCGGGCTGGACCGGCTGGCTTACGTCAGACGCGTCAGACCGTTCAGCGTACCGGACGCCGGCACTCCGAGACGATGACGTTTAGGTAACGGCTCACGGATGACATGCCATATGGGTGCTGCCATTTAGTAAATTACTGAATATGTTGAGAACGAGCTCAGTTGCTGGAGAAACTGGTGGTAGGCCAGAAGGCGTTTTCGGGTCTGTTGTTATTTAAAGGTCATAGTGTTATATACAGCATCTTCCTCCTAAGTAGCAAAACACCCTTGTATATTTAAATTCATGGGAACTGCTTCTCATGCCTGGCAGGTCTTAACTAAACGCAGGGCTCGTCCGGGATTTGAACCCGGGACCTCTCGCACCCAAAGCGAGAATCATACCCCTAGACCAACGAGCCAGTGGTAGAATGCTAACCACCTGTTTGGTCAGCAGGGCTGCCGCCGGTATCGCTGACAAAATGTGCCCGCCCCCTTTACCGGTTTGCAGAGCTGTCAACAGCCACTCACCCAGTACCCACACGCCAGAGCTGGCAGGGCGCTCCCACAGCATTGAGCCGATCGGGATTGTCTGGTTAGGCGGCACAGAGCAGCGTTGCAGCCTTGCCTCCCCGCCTACAGCAGTATCGGTTCCCTGTCGCTCTGCTCAGCGGGACCACTATCCACCTATATCCCGCGTGTTGACCCTCACGTGACCGTGTGCGTGCCCGGCCCACCCGCAGCTCAGGCGCATAGCAAGGATGAGCGGACGCGCGATGAGGCGGTGGGCGCGCTGGAGGCGCTGGCCGCCCGCTGCAGCGACGCCTCGGCCGTCGAGAAGCTGCTGGCTCGCCTGGTGGCCGTGCTGGACGGAGCCGACGGAAAACTGACCGTGGCCGACCAGAAGATAGCGGTTCTCAAGGTGGGCTGCTTGATAGGAGCACGGGGTTGTTCTCTGTGAGGAGAAATGAGAATTGATAATGGGCATGGCTGAAGAAAGTCGATTAGTGAGGGGCTGGATGAAACACTTCAGGTGAACCGAGAAAGGAATTACTATGTGCAGGCGTGTGACGCTCGTCGCTGTCCGTTTCGCAGGCGGTCGGCGGCGTGTCTCAGTGTTGTGTGGCCGGCAGCAGCACCCAGAGCCTGGTGTCCTCGGCTGCCGCCGCGCTGCTCAGGGTGTTTGAGCAGGAGGCTCACGAGGGCACCGTGGTGATGGCGCTCGCCCAGCTGCGGCGGTGGTGTGCCAAAATCACCGGACAGCCGCCGCAGCAGCTGGCCGACTGGTTCCAGGTCAGTCAGACCGCGTCGCGTACCGCTCTTCCCCGGCCTTCACCCAAACAACTCAGTTCAAACAATAGAGCTATCTCAGACGTTCATACGTGATGTGAAAGCCATTTGCCAGAGTAATGATGCCAAGACTTAGTTTGTATCGTTCTTTTCGTGTGGTAATACCCAACAGACAGAAGGTGTTTGAGCAGAGCTGTCATAGCTGCCGTTTATTTTCGTCCCATGAGTCTGACTGACCACCCTCCCTCGCCGTCTCCTTCAGACGTGTCTGGGTCAAAAGTCGGCCACCTCGGCCGTGCGCCTGGGCCAGCTACTCTGTATGGAGACGACGTACCGTGGCGCCGCCCTGCCGGGCTTGCAGGGGCTGGCCGAGCCGCTCAACAAGACCGTGGAGCGCGCCGCTGCCAATAGCACGCAGGTGAGGGGTGCTCTCGCAACTCGCAGGTAACGCTGCCCTCACGGCAGTCGTTGAAAATAGTTCGCTCAGATGACGTTCAGTCAGTTAAAGTTCGCTAAAGTCGCTCGCACCGAGGTAATTTTGTCTCTTCACGGTTAACAGCACACATTAGGTAATGCTGAACTCACAGAACATGTGTAGTGTGTAATTATCGCCATCTTACTGGTAACAGTACGCAGGTTACGGTCGGTACCCTCACAATCGCCAAAAACACTCAGGAAAGCAATAGCAGAGTACAGGTAACGCTGGCTTTACAACGGACAAAAGCCCACTGTCCAGGGCCCACCTGGTAGCGATGCCTCACAACATACTGTTAGCACTGCCCTCACCGCCGGCCACCGACTGCCTGCGTATAACGCTGCCCTGTGTTCGGCAGCTGCCCATGGTGTCTGAGGGCGTGGTGGCCGCCCTGTTGCTCTCCCGCATGACGGACGTCGACCCTTCCGTCAACCTCGACAGCGTCTTCAACCTGGTGCTAGACGAGAAGCGTACACTCTTCAACGAGAAGTTCATCAACTCCGCCAGCGACGACGGTAATTATGACGAACGTTTTCGGTTGGCGGGACTGAGCTGCCAATGAATGTGTAAGTTGTCAGGCGATGATCTTTTCCTACCTATTTCATTAATGGAACTGGTATGGATGTGTTTGATTTCGTTATGTCGAAGCTGGTCTACGCTGCCGTCTATATCTTAAATGGTGGTGTGCTGTATTAGCGGAGGTTATCCGCTGATGCTATCTGTCTTTCTCTCCCTAGCTGCGGTGTGTCTGTGGACTGTGTCTGCTCTGTGAGCGGCTGCTAAGTGTGTCTATATATCCCTCCCCATCCGTGGTGTGTCTCTGTCAGCTCTGTGAGCGGCTGCTGACTGTACCTATTTCCCTCCCCAGCCGTGGTGTATCTCTGTCAGCTTTGTGAGCGACTGCTGACTCTGTTTCTCTCCCCCCAGCCGTGGTGTGTCTGTGCCAGCTCTGTGAGCGGCTGCTGTCTGTATTTCTTGGTGGGTCTGTGTCAGGTTCCGTGAGTGGCTGCTGTCTGAATTTCTGTCCCCAGCCGTGCCAGCTGTGTGAGCGACTGCTGACTAGTTATTTCTCCGGCTCCTACCCAGGAGATGGCAGTAACTGGGGAGTGTTCGCTCGGTCGTGGGGATTAACGCTGTGCCAACCAGCGCCCCCGGCCGCAGGTACACGGGCCTGATCCACCTTTAAACAGATCCTTCGGTCCGGTGACATGTCCAGAGGGCACGGCCTCGCTTCATGTCCCGGAGCAGCCCTCTGACCTGCCGGGCCCGAGAAATCGGGATAGCCCCAGCGTGCGCACCAGTGCGGTGCCACCTGGGGCACGCGACAGGAAGCGTGCGGTCAAGGCTGTCCCGCGTAGCGGGTGCCGAAAACGATTCGTACCACTGCCGTGTATATAGTGTACTAACCCAGTATGAATGTGTGCTACTAACGACAAAAGCCCGAGTCGGGCACCAAAAATATTCAAAAAAAAAGACTAGTTATTTCTCTCTCTCCCCCCAGCCGTGGTGTGTCTGTGTCAGCTCTGTGAGCGGCTGCTGACTGTATTTCTCTCTCTCCCTCCAGCCGTGGTGTGTCTCTGTCAGCTCTGTGAGCGGCTGCTGCTGACGCACGCCGAGCGACTGGGCCGGGCGCCCGGTGCGGACGGCCCGGTGGCCCGCGGTCTGGTGCTGGCGCTCTGCAGGCCGACGGCGGCCTCCGTGCGCTCGGCGGCGGCCGGCTCGGCGCGCCGTCTGTCGGCCGCTCTGGGCGGCGCCCAGCTGTCGGCGCTGCTGCTGGACCAGTGTCAGGACTACATCAGCGCGGCCAACGTGCAGGTGAGGCTGCCGTCAGGACTACATCAGGACTACATCAGCGCGGCCAACGTGCAGGTGAGGCTGCCGTCAGGACAACATATTCAGATCGGCTAACGTGCAGGTGAGGCTGCCGTCTGGACTACATCAGCTAACGTCTAGGTGAGGCTGCTGACACCGTTGACTGCCGGCGATCTTTAGCTTTTTAGCTTTTGACACCACTGAACATAAGGAAGAAAGAAGACTGCGGGATACTTCTATTGGAGCAGTCATATTTTTACTTTTCTCCTTTTGAAGCGTTTATCGCACTTCGTACAGTTGAAAGGCAATTCAGACATTACTTACTGGAGCGAAATAAAGGCAGTTTTTTTTTTTAGACATCCCGAGAGTCGTATTTCAAATGGGGGTTCGGGGTACTACAGTAAGTAACCCTCACTTTACGCCATGGAACCGTATTTTTTTTCTTCATGATATACCAGACATGATTTTGCTATAGGACTTACTAACGGCAGCCGCGGCGTCGGCGGCTATTCTTTCGCTCCGGATTTCATTTTATAGGTGTAGGAAGTCACGTTGAAACACACTGGCTATTGGACCTGTTTTATATACAGTAGAATCGGCTTAATAAATCCTCGGATAATAAATCCAACCGCTTGTTGTGGCCCCTGAGTTGTTCACGGATTTATCTATGGAAGCATAGAGACTTCGGCTAAAAAGCAACCGTTTAAGAAATCCAAAACACCGTGTCACGAAGGTAGATTTATTTAGCGGATTCCACTGTATCTCAGTACGAGGGGCGTTCAAAAAGTTCTCGGCCCAACCATGAAGGAGTTGGAATTTCGGCCTGCAACGCGGTGTGTTCAATGATGTGTTATTGGGATGTCCACTTACGTAGCCATTAACCAATCTGCCCTGTGATTGGTTCAGGCTGCTAATTAATCGTAACATAGTTTGCTATTCCCGGTCAGAATGGGTGACGCCCAGAATAGAACAGTGATTTGGTTCATGTATTGCAGAAAAGTGCACCAAACGTTATTCACGAAAAGCTAGTGCCAACACATGTTGAAGTTCGTCTTTCTTACAGTAGCGTCAAAAAGTGGGCATCTCTGTTCAATTTTGGTCAACAGATCATTAATGGTCACCCCCGCAGTGGCCAGCCATCAACAGCATTGACTCAAGAAAATATGAAAAATAAGCACTTCTTTGTGAAAAATGACGAATGTTCTGGTCTGAAACAACGCAGCAGAAGCGTAGTTGTCTATTAGGTTCCTCAAAGCCATTTTTCGACAGCGTATTAATATGTTTAAGATCTCTGCAAGGTGCATCCCCCGTTTGCTGACTCCAGAGGAAAGGCAAACTCGAAAGGAGGCGTAACGCAAAATTTTGGCCCCTATATCGAAGATCCAAAAGAGTTCATTGAACTTCTTGTTACCGTGGAGGGATTGTGGGTGTCACACATTGACCCTCAGGGCGTGACCGAGTTGCACAAGTGGAAGCACACTGAGTAAAGGCCACCAAATGTGTGCGACGTGTTAAAGTCAGACGGCAAGGTGACAGTGGTTGCATTTTTGGATGATGGCGGGGCTCTGTTCGTCAACTTTCAAAAATAGGGGCGCACAATTAATGATGAATGCTACACCTCCCTTCGATAACAGTAGCGAGCAGCAGATATCAAGGAGAGACTAGGGAAGCTGACTAAAAGTGTGCGCCTGATCCAGGACCACGCACCAGCACACATGAGCAGGGTGACGATCAGCGAAGCAGTGAGCTGTGGCTTCGAGTTGTTGTCACAGCCACTTTTTTCTTCGTACCTTGCACCCTCAGGTTGCCACCTCTTCCCCAACATAAGGAAATTGCTTAGCAGTGCCAACTTCGCTGACGGCAAGGAGACAAAAGCAGCCGTCTTGGACGTGCCAGATGTGTCCAAAACCCACTTGGCTATGGAGACCCAGGGGCCTCTCGCGAAGCGCTGCGCGAATTTTTTTGGTCTAAACGCTGGTTATTTGACTAAATGAACGTTTTTGGTCTAATAAGTCGACGTCGTATCTCTGCTCCTTCATGGTCGGGCCGAGAACTTTTTGAACGCCCCTCGTATACTGTCCTGCATGTTTCTCAGCTCAGTAGTCAGTATTTCTCCCCGTATCCCCGATCCCCGAGCAGTATGTATGTCCAACTGGACGTTAGACTGTCCCGCCGTACCCGCGTGTTTTGCGGTACTGTAGCAGCATGTGGATAGGACATCAGTTTTCCTTTTAATTCAGTATATTCATCCAGATCCGCAATGCCACGTAAAAAACTGAAAAGACACAACACGGTATTATAACCCTCGTTTCCTCAACATTCCTGCGCCACATTCGCAACCAACTGATAACTGACTATAATATCTGACTAGAATGTTTTTGTTCACTCTTCAACATAACAAACTTAGGCAAAAACATCATCTAATCATAAACAAAAGCATACATACCAAAATATTAAAGAAAATACATTACTCACTCCGTCCCATGTCCCTCGGCTCGCTTTTCGTTCAAAACAATAACATTTCTTGCGCAGATGCGGCAAAAAACAGGGCCCACGCGGGCCACGCTGGTGGTCACCTAAACCACTGCAGTAAATTGATGCCAGCGGGAACATGGCTCCCCAAAATTCAACAGAATTTTCTCTTCGGATAACACTAACAGATACGTCGATTACACGAACAAGTATGAGACCATGAAACAGAAGTTGTTCCAAGGATCAAGTCCTTATAGACTACGGTCTCAATGCATCTTACACTTCTCACAGCTGTCCTTTCACGGCATGTGGACCGCTAATCCTACGCCAAGCACCTCTAGTTCGTCGTCCGCTCACCAGGCGTTCAGAGGCTCCCCGACCGGGAATCTCCGTCGTGCGCCCTCATGATCATGACCAGACGATGCACTGGCCTGTCGTATTCGGCTGCGCCGATCCGCACTCGCACCTTACGCACCAAGTCATCCGCACTCGGGTACGTGGTCACTATACGTCCCAGATGCCACTGAGAGCGCGGAAGACTGTCATCGGCCACAGCGACGAGGTCGTCGACCTTCATGTTAGGCTCCTTGTCGATCCATCTCCGTCGCTCCTGCATAGTGGGGACGTACTCGTGCTGCCATCGCGACCAGAATACGTCCGCCAGATGTTGTACGCGCCGCCATCTTCGACGGGCGTAGACGTCTTCACGGCAGAAGACACCAGGTGGAGGAAGAAGGACCTTGGATTTACATGTGAGTAGCTGTGCTGGAGTGATAGGTTCTACGCTATCAGTGTTAGTCATGCTACAAACAGAAATGGGCCGACTATTGACGACGTTCTCGGCTTCCGCGACAAACGTCCGGAACAGCTCGTCGTCCAGATGATGACTGTGTCCGTCCAGGATACTAGTCAATGCTGTTCTTGTCGACCTGATGAGCCTTTCCCATGAGCCGCCCATGTGGCTCGCGTACGGGACGTTGAAGGAAAACTCAATGAAATCACATTGATCCTTCAGCAGCTCTCGCCTGATCTTCCCCTTCTCCATCTCCATCATGGCTGCTTCCAATGTGCTTTTGCCGCCAATAAAGTTTGTGCCGTTATCACAGAACAGCTTTCTCACAGGGCCACGGCGACACACAAATCGTCTATATGCGTTCAGAAAGGCGTCTGCTGTCATGCTGTTGACAGTTTCCAGGTGGATCCCACGACAACTCAGGCAAGTGAAGAGCAGTATCCACCGTTTGACTTCGCTTCTTCGCTCCTTTACAAAGAATGGGCCAAACGCATCCACTCCACTGTTTTCAAAAGGTTCCGTCGCCTCCAAACGCTCCATAGGCAGGTCTCCCATCTTCTGAGTGCAGGGATTTCCACGTAACCTCTTGCACTTCACGCAGCTGAGGATGATCCTCACAACTGCCGATCTTCCCTGCACGATCCAGAAACCTCTTTGTCTGACTTCATTCAGAGTCATCTCTCTTCCACTGTGGTGAGTTCGCTCATGGCACTCACGAACAATCAGATCTGTAATGTGTCCTCGTTTCGGTAGTATGATCGGGTGAGCTAGCTCCATTGATAAGCTGCTCTTTCGAGCACGTCCTCCTACTCGAAGTAGCCCATCCTGATCCACGAAAGGATCTAGTCCTCGCAGGCTGCCAACGGTTCTCTTTCTTCGGGGGTCACCAGATCGCTCTCCATCAGCTGAAAGGGCAGCCACGTCCTCATTGAAGTCTTCTTTCTGGACCTGTCGAAGGATCAACTTTTCTGCGTTCAGCAGATCTTCAGCACACAAGCCCTCCTCGGATTCATCTCCTTCTGGTTTCGTCGTCTTCGATTTGATCCGATGTCGGAGACGTCTCACAAACTTGATGCAGAGGGCAACAGCTCTACGAGCTCTGAACCAATCAGAGAAGTACAGCAGCCGCTCCTTCAGACTCGCAAACTGTTGTGCAACGGAAGCAGCAGTTGCAAGCGTCGTCATCTTCTTTACCTCTGGGTCGTCATCAGGGACTTCGAACGTACTAGGCGTCCTCTCCTCGTCCTGTTTCCTAAGGAACTCGGGTCCCTTCCACCAGATGTCGTTCTTCTTCAGGTCAGACGCCCTCTGGCCGCGGGAAGCGTAGTCTGCTGGATTGACTTCAGAGGATACGAATCCCCACTGATCAGGTGATGTGTACTGGCGAATTTGCTGTACACGATTCGCCACGAAGACGTGGAAACGTTTGTCTTCGTTTCCGATATAACCCAATACTACCTTGCTGTCACACCAGAAGTATTCTCTCAGGTTCGGAATATTCAGCTCTTGCTTCAGGAACTGGCTGGTTTTTGTCGAAAGAAGTGCCGCTGCCAGCTCCAGCCTTGGAACAGTCGTCACGCGTTTCGGCGTTACTCTGGCTTTCCCCAGCACCAGTGACGAATAGAGCTGTCCATCGGTAGTCTTCATTCGCAGATAGCTGCAGGCCCCGAGCCCCTCTAGGCTGGCGTCTGAGAAGTTGTGCAGCTCGTAGGACTCCACCAGACATGAGGATGGAACGTAGCACCTGGGCACTGCAAAAGTGGAAAGTGTAGCCAGGTCTGCTTTCCAATCAAGCCAGCACTCTTCATGTACCGGCTCATCCCATCCACCGCCATCACAACAGAGTCGCTTCAGTATCTGCTTTCCCTGCAACGTGAAGGGACACACCAACCCCAGGGGGTCGTATAGGGAACTGACGGTAGACAAAATCCCTCGTCGAGTCACTGGTCTGTCGGGCAGGTCTCCTGTCAAAAGGAGCGTGTCATCTTGAATGTTCCACGAAAGTCCAAGAGCCTGTTCCACTGGTTTGTACTCGTCCACGACGTCCTTGTTCTGAAGATTCTTCGATCGATTTTCTTCGGGGATGCTGGCGATGACATCCGGCTCGTTCGAGGTGAATTGGTGCAACTGGAAACCACCTTTGAAACACAAAATTGTTGCTCTTCCAGCCAGGTCACACGCCGACGTCTTGTCCGGAGTTGAGATCAATCCGTCGTCCACATAGAAATCGTGGCGCACGAAGGCTGCAGCTTCTGGGCCACACTCTTCTTCATAGAGCTCAGCTGTCTTATTCAGCGCGAACATCGCACAAGATGGGGACGATGTTGCCCCGAACAGATGCGTAGTCATTCTGAACTCTGTCGGTTCTTCCTGCAGGTTTCCATCCTTCCACCAGAGGAAGCGTAGCAGGTTCCGATGTTCTTGGTTCACTTTCACTTGGTTAAACATCCCTCTGATGTCACAAGTGAGAGCCACGGGGAGCTTACGGAATCGAGTCAAGATGCCGCAGAGGTTATTGGCCATGTCCGGTCCCTGCATGAGCTCACTGTTTAGGCTCCGTCCATCGAATTCACAGCTGCAGTCAAAGACCACCCTGATCTTTTGTTTACGAGGGTGACGGACCCCATGGTGCGGCAGGTACCACACTCCATTGCTGCCGGCTCCACCAAGTTCCTCTTCAGGCACAGGCTCAGCGACTCCGGTCTCCAGCATTTCTGTCATGAATGTGTTGTATTCTGCCTGAAATCCTGGATCCCTTTCAAATCTCTTCTTCAACCCTTGCAGCCTTTGCATTGCAAGTTTCTTATTGTCTGGCAGCACAACCTCTGGGTCCTTCAGTGGAAGTGGCGCTTCCATGTGACCATCTTCTGTGGCATGCATCTGTGTCTCCATTAGATCCACAAATCTCTTGTCTTGTTGTGAGATTTTCCTCTCTTGAGGTTGGTCCTGAAACCCTGTCTCCAACATTTCAATCAAATGTGACGGCCCGACTTCCCTCGCTCGGGTCCTCAGCGTGAAGTGACACTGCCTACTCGCCGCACCATCGCACGATGCAAAACAGCACGTTCTGTTGCCGCGAGCGAGGCCAACGACACCCCAGCCCATCGCTGTGCGGACTGCCCACGGCGCGTTGTCGTCTCCTGTCACGATGTCCTGAGGCTTGATGGCCTTGCTGCAGTTCAAGCCAATGAGTAGACCAATCGACGCCTCCGGGTAGTAGGGAGGCAAACTCTCAGCTACTTCTCTCAGATGAGACCAGTTTGCTGCTGTCTCACGCCTTGGGATCAGTTGTCGATCTACAGGCATGTCTTCACGGGTGTACGTTGTGGGGAGGCTGATCTCACTGCTGGAGTCCAGCGCTTCGATGACCAGTCCCGTTACTGCTTTCGCCTTCACCTCGGTTTTCCCAGTAATCGTACTCAATTCCAGAGAAGTTTCCACTCCGGGTGCTTTGATCTTGTCGCAGACGCTCTCAGTTATGAACGTCCCATCAGACTGTGGATCCAGAATGGCGTAAACCATTTCCTTGTGCTCCGGTGTTGTCCGGTGATGGACCAGTACAGGCACGATCAGTGAATGAAAACATGGGGTTCCATCATCTGCATCGCTGGGCGGTGATCTGATTTCAGTTTTCAGTGTTGTAGCCGTTTGTGTTTCGACTGACACCGATCGTCCGGGAGTCCCTCTTGATGACCTGAAATCATCATCATGTAGGAGTGTCGGGTGAGCACCGTGACACTTTCCACATTCTCTTCTCCTCTTGCACTCCTTCCAGATGTGGCCTATACGCAGGCAGCCACGACACACTCCATGCTTGCGAATCACAACATGCTTCTCTGGCAGGGACATCTTTGCGAAGACCTCACATGAGTCCAGTGGATGCCTCTCTACGCACAGGACACACTTCCACCTGTAGCTGTCAGGAGCTGATTGGCTACTGCTGGTTGCTTGGTAGCTGGGATCAGTTCTTCTGAAATTCCTGTCCGACTTCCTTTCAGCTACTGCACCAGTCGAAGAAGCGAATGCTCCAGCTCTGTCTCTTGTTTTCTTCAGTTTGTCTTGGTCTGTCTCCAGCGATACTGGTCCACAGGCGACTCGAGCCTCTTTGGTCAAGAAGTTGACAAACACTTCTAAGCCTGGGTACTCTGACTTGTCGCGTTCATAGATGTGCTCATCTACAACCCTCCTCCAGCGATCTACAAGATATCGTGGAAGTCTTTTCAGCAGCTGGGTAATATCATCGATGTTCCCAAGATTGTTGAGTCCTGGTACTGTCTGAGCTGCCACCAGACAACCTTCCAGGAAATCTGCCAGCTCACGAAGGGCCTTGCCATCTCCAGGCCGAACATGTGGCCAGCTGTGGAGCCGCTGCCTATAGGCATTTGCTGTGACAAAGTCGTTTCCATACCTTTCAATCAGTTTCTGCTTTGCCTTAGAGTAGGCATCCACACTTCTCAACTGGAGAAGTCCTTGAATTGCACGTTTAGCACTTCCACCTGTGTAGGTTGCAAGATAGTGCAGTCTTTCTGTGCTCTCAGTAGTCCTTGACTCAATGTAACATTCAAATGACTTGAGCCACATTGCGAACTGCTCAACGTCACCCTTAAATACCTCAGGTTCAAGAACAGGCAGCTGGTTCTGTGACTTTGATATGATATGTGCCAGTCCTGTCAAAATTCCTTCGGCCTGAGCATTGCCATCTGAGTTCTTCTCTTGTGTTTTCACATTTGTCTTCACTTGTGTGTCCTTTTGATACTCATCTGGCCCATCTTCATTCAGAAGTTCTTGTTCAAACTTTTCGCTGATATCCTCTTGTGCGTTTTGAATGTCAAGCTGCACTTGTAACTCCAACTCCTTTTCTCTCAGCTCCAGATCCTGTCTTTCCTTCAGAAGTTCTTGTCTTTTCTTCACGGCCATCAGTTGCGCCTTCACTTCTGCCTTCTTTCTCTCATCCTGGAGACGCAGCATCATGAGGTTTGCTCTCATTGAACTTGATGTCGTACTAGCTCCTGCCACAGAGCCTTCAAGCTTTGTTTCATGATCAGTCAAAGCAAGTTCCTTTTGCAAAGCATCCACACCCTCTTTCATCTGGTTCAACTGTACCCCTATTTCTGCGTGGCTTGACAGATGCTCCTCCTTTCTGTCTGCAGGAAGTAGAGCTTGCAAATCGATAGCTGTTTGCATGAGCGTCACATATCCATGAAGCCACTGTCTCACCTTCTTTGTCACTGTTTTGTGGAAAACTTCATCTGCCTTGACCCTTTCGGACACATCTTCTTCCAACAGTTCAGCTCCTGTCTTCTTCAATTCCTTTAGAAGAACATTATAGCTCTTCTCCTTGGTTTCTAACTGGTATGCGGCACCTTTCGGATTTAATGTGACCTTTCTCCCACTCCTTCTAGCGAGCAGTGCTGCACCACCTTCCTTCGTTTCACCTTCCAGACCTTCCATCTTCTTACTTTCATCCATTTCAAAGCAGTTTCAAACAAAAAATAAAAGAAAAGTAAACACTACAGGTACAGGTTTATAGGTCGTTGGAAGAACTGAAATAATATGAGGCAAATAAAGTTCGACTCGGTGTATAGATTGTTAGTTCGGGTCATCTAACTACCTACAGGTTCAGAAATTGGTCCCAACGTTCATCTGGTTTTGTTCGGATTGGGGGATTTTTTACTGTAGCAGCATGTGGATAGGACATCAGTTTTCCTTTTAATTCAGTATATTCATCCAGATCCGCAATGCCACGTAAAAAACTGAAAAGACACAACACGGTATTATAACCCTCGTTTCCTCAACATTCCTGCGCCACATTCGCAACCAACTGATAACTGACTATAATATCTGACTAGAATGTTTTTGTTCACTCTTCAACATAACAAACTTAGGCAAAAAGGTATATGTCAAGTTTACGTCCTAAGCACATATCAATGATAATTGTTTCACATTCCTACGTATTTTGACGTGCTGAATCCAAAAATCATACTTACATGTCTCGCAAGAACAAAATTATCACCAATACACTAAGCAATTACACCTTCCCACAACACACGATCAAAACAAATCGAGAGGAAATTGAAAGTGTCCAGCCTTGCCATTTGTGAAAAATATTTTGTCCTTTTTTAATGTCGAGAAATAAAAACATTCAATATATTATAAAAATAAATAGGAAATATGTAAAAAATATTTATTTAAAAAGAAATATTATTATTAGAAATAGAATAGCAAAACAACAAAGGGGAAATGTTGGGAACCGGGGTTATTGGCTGGGGGGGGGGGGGGAGGAAAGGAAAATCCTGAGAACTGGGGGGCGATTACTTGTGCAAAGTTGGCCAAAATCAAGAATGATATCTAACAGTTGCTATTCAACTGTGAATAATGACGTCATAATATTTCTCGCGGCGAAGCAGCGCAGTGCCGAAGGCAATGCCTTAGGAGAGATTACAGGCAAGAGTAAATCAAATATTTTTAGGTTAAGTGGTTATGTATCTGGCTTCAGGCCGAAGGCCTGAAGCCTGATGCATGACCACTTAACCTAAAAATATTTGATTTACTCTTGCCTTTCGGCCTGAAGCCAGATACATAACCACTTAACCTAAAAATATTTGATTTACTCTTGCCTGCAATCTATTCCTGCAAGCAACTTTTTCCTTATCCCCGGTAGGCAAAAATCAGTAGGTTAGGTTAGGTTAGGTTAGGTTAGGTTAGGTTAGGTTAGGTTAGGTTAGGTTAGGTTAGGTTAGGTTAGGTTAGGTTAGGTCAAGTCAGGTAAGGTTAGGTTAGGTAACAATTAGATTTGAGGCAAGAACCCCGATTCCTAAAATTTCCCAAATATTGTAACCATTCTTATCGTATTTTTCTCCATCCCCTCCCCACAAACCCCGGTTCCCGACATTTCCCTATGACGTCATTTTCATTTTTTCTCTCCCCCACCCATGAACCCCGATCCCCAACATTTCCCTGTTTTTCTAACCCTCCCCACCCAATAACCCCGGTTCCCAACATTTCCCCTTTGTTGTTTTGCTATTCTATTTCTAATAATAATATTTCTTTTTAAATAAATATTTTTTACATATTTCCTATCTATTTTTATAATATATTGAATGTTTTTATTTCTCGACATTAAAAAAAGACAAAATATTTTTCACAAATGGCAACGCTGGACACTTTCAATTTCCTCTCGATTTGTTTTGATCGTGTGTTGTGGGAAGGTGTAATTGCTTAGTGTATTGGTGATAATTTTGTTCTTGCGAGACATGTAAGTATGATTTTTGGATTCAGCATGTCAAAATATGTAAGATTATGAAAGAAATATCATTGAAATGTGCTTAGGACGTAAACTTGACATTTACCGGCAAAAACATCATCTAATCATAAACAAAAGCATACATACCAAAATATTAAAGAAAATACATTACTCACTCCGTCCCATGTCCCTCGGCTCGCTTTTCGTTCAAAACAATAACATTTCTTGCGCAGATGCGGCAAAAAACAGGGCCCACGCGGGCCACGCTGGTGGTCACCTAAACCACTGCAGTAAATTGATGCCAGCGGGAACAGGTACAGTCTACCCATCCAGGCAGTCTCCCCGCGAGCGAGGACAGGCCCGTGAGCTGCGACTGGACAATTCCTGGGATAAGCCAACGATGACAAACGGTCGACCCAGACCGCCTTCTGCAATGCATGGAGCTAATTCGGCCTCAGGAACAAATGACCGGCTGCAGGCTCACAGAGGCGGATCCAGCTCAGAGTTTTTTTTTTTTTGGGGGGGGACCATAACAATTTATCGATTCTTTACATGCATCGTCCATAGGCGTGCCGCGTAATGTTAAAATTATGCCGTTTGGAGGGTAGGGGCAAATGCCTATTTTGCCCCCTGGATCCGCCACTGCAGGCTCATCACTTTCCACTGGCGGATCCAGAATCGTGGCCTCGGATGCTGCGAGGGATGTACCCATAGGCGTCGCCAGAGATTTTCGGTTGGGGGGGGGGCAAAATCAACTTTTGTGTGAAATCTTGCCTTTCCCCAGTCGCTACTCACTCATTTTGCATATCATTCGACGCGCAATGGTGCGAGGAATCCGATGGTGACAAAGTTTTCCTTCTAGCTATGACATGTATGTTTTTACAGAAAAAAATCGAAATTTTGAAATTTGTGGACAAAAACGACCGGTAGAAATTCGTGGATGCGCAGCCGTGGGAATTTCAGACGGCTCCGGCTCCGGCTCCGGAGAAAAAAAAATCGGTTCCGGCTCCGGCTCCGGGTGAAATGCCATGGCGGCTCCGGCTCCGGCTCCGGCTCCAAATGCTCAGTACGTCCCCTATACAGTTAAATACGGGTCGAAGAAAATAGACGATGGGATTGGTGCAAGTTGCTTCTGTATTTGCATAACAGGGCTATTTTCATATTTTGAATACCGCATGTTTTACTGCCATGAACTGTCAAACCGAACTAGGTCAATAATTTTTGCTCTTAAAAAAAGGAGCCGGAATCGCCCCCTTTTTTGACGGCTCCGGCTCCAGCTCCGGCTCCGGGCTATATTGTTTCACGGCTCCGGCTCCGGCTCCGGGCAAAATGTGCCGGCTCCAGTTCCGGCTCCGGCTCCGCACCCCTGGGTAGAATTACAGTGGCTGCAAAAGACGACGCACTGCAGAGGGCCCCTGTGCAGACTCTCGTCACTCATGATCATTACCCAGAAAAAGGTGAAAAACGCCCCATTTAATCGGATCACCCTGCTAAAACCTCCATTCACGCATGCATGCAGAGGTTTTACGTGAAATGCATAGGGCTTATCCCAGCCGCCGATTGTAGCTAAGTTGGGCATTCGGCGGAGACTGAGAGCGAATGTCGGAAGTGTGAATCGGAAGTAAATTAGTTGGTAATTCATCTTTGCTCCAGTGGAAGGAAGTGTTTTGTTCACTCGAGTGCGAACAAAAAGTTTCTTGTTTTTCGTGTGAAGGGAAGCGCTGCAAACGTGAACAAAAATGTTAAACGGAGCCAAAAGTTACGCACGGCATAGCGGCAATGGATCCCTTAGAGATAGGCTTTGGACTTCCAGGCCATCTCAAGCCACTCAGGGTCAGTGTGGACTCTCAGAAGCCTGCTTAGGTTCCCGGAGATCGGCGTGGGTCACCCCAAATATTTACGTGTATGTGGTGCTTTACGGCTTTCCGAGCCCAAGGTGGGGCCCTCAGAAGCCAGTGTGGGCGGCGGGCGCTAAGAGACTAGGCCCAGAGTGAGCCTAGAGCCCTCGGATAACTGTGAACCGTTGGGGTCTGTGTTGAATCCCTAAGGACCCTATGTAAGGACATAAGAAGCATGTGTTGCGGCCCATCAGATGCCGGCTTGGGGTTAGCAAAGTCTGTCGCTTCAAAAGTTCGGCTGAACTGTCAGAGGCCAGTTAAGGTTCTCATAAATTTTCGAAGGCATCCTAAAAGATTCGTGTGGCCCTTCAGAGGTCTACGTATGTATAAGGTCCTAAAAGATCCCTGTATGGGCCCTCAGAGAACATGGACACCAGTGGGACTCTCAGTGGCCGGTTTGGGCCCTCTGAAAGCTTTTTAGACATCAGTGGAGCTCCTTAGGAGCCTGTGTGGAAAGCAAGCTCATGAGCCCTGCGGCACTTGAACGGTACTTGAGCCTGTCGCAGACATTTGACGAGTCGAGAAAGGCCCCATAGATTTCGTGTCACGCTTTGAACGAAAATTATGTGTCAGCACTCCAAAACTTATGAAAATCAGCTATAAAATGTAATAAAGAACCAACTAAGAACATGGAATGAATCACAGCATTGACATTTCCGAGTCTGGAGTCGGAGTCTTGAAGATTTTGGGGACTGCGACTCTGACTTTGGTTTGAACTGCACGCTCCAACCGAGTCTGATCTTACAGACATTCTCAGAAAGGTACCCCTATTTTTTCCCGACTCCAAAATCTCATCGGATCTGTATCGATCTCAGGGGGTGCCCGGTCCGAGGTTGGGGGGGGGGGGCAAGCTGCCCCGCTTGCCCCCCCCCGTGGCGACGCTTATGGATGTACCTATCAATATATCCCCAAAAAAGCTTCTCCAAATCAGGAAAAATCCTGGAATTTCGATTTCTTTGGCTATGCTGAGCAGTTTAAGCAAACTATTCGTAATAAACGCTGTGATCATGACGTTTTCACAAAACAATAAATGTTCATCATCGATTTCGGGGGCTGCATGGGAGAGGCAGGCCCAAAACACCCTTCCCCCAGATCTGCCTGTGTCACTTTTGGCTTAATACGGCTCATGATTCTGCAGTCGTGCACCGCTGCGCCTGCAATTTGCAATATGCTTGGCGCGTCACTCAATTCGCAAGCAATCGTAAAGCGCGCTCCATTCCGATCAGTCCAACTTCGGAAACGGGGTCTCGGCTCGTTGGTCTAGGGGTATGATTCTCGCTTTGGGTGCGAGAGGTCCCGGGTTCAAATCCCGGACGAGCCCGTTGGTTTTGGCTTGCACTTGCAGCAATGCAAGAGTGATTTGTGGCTCTGCACACATTGATATGTCAGGCTGGGATCCGGTCGGGGAGAGAAGCTTCGATATGTGAGTAAATGGTGTGTCCAAAAATATCGAGGCACCAGAACAAGACTACTTTTTTATTAAAAAGTAAGCGGCACTGACTGAGGGGAAAGACAAATGAACACATAACAATATAGATCATCATTGGCATTGTATAATATTTTCCCGAGCACCTTGTCTTTGAAAAAAAATCCAAACAATTCTCAAATTCAGGATGATGTTCGCGCCTGAATGCCTTCGCTCGGTTGACCTCGCTGCATAAAGATACTTCGCTTGTGAAGCTGCTCACCACCGTCTTGAGGGCTTCTACGGATTGCGGGGCCAAGCATTCTGGTAACACTTATGTAGAAGCCCCCCAAAAGGTGGTGAGCAACTTTGCGGTGAGGAAAGGCAAGAGGCCCTCATTTCATGAGCCACCAAATCAAGGGAGTGGAAGATTTGAAGTGTGAAAGTTGTCCTTAGTCTGATCATCGCCGGGGGTGGGGGGGGGGGGGGGTGGGGCAGGAACTGATTGATGACAATGGAAGTGCGCTCAAAAGATGTGTCCCAAAATACTAATTGCAAAAATGCATTGAATAGTTATGTAGCTCTGTGTAGTCTGTGATCTGTCAGTGCCACTCACTGAAAAAAATCGCTTTTACAAATACCCCGCTGACCGGATCTGACCTGGTCTGTCCTGGCTTTGTTTCAGCGGTCGTCGGCGGACCGCGAGCCGACCGACCTGACCTCCGACCTGGTGGCCTACTGCCTGGCGTCTGTGTGCTCCGACAAGGCCGTGCAGCCGGCAGAGGCCGAGATGTTGGCGCTGCGACTGCTCCAGCCGGCCCACCACCCCGCACTCGGTGAGTCCCGCTCGTGTGCCTCTCATATGCTTCCTCTCCATGTTTGAGAGTAACTTGAAGTAAGATTACCCTGCCGGTGGTCTGTCTGTGACCTGACCCACCCGTCTGACCCCTTGACCTCTGCGTGACCTCCAGCGGCCGACCACCCGGACCTGTGGTGTCGGATCGTCACCAAGATGGGCCTGGAGCCGGCCGAGTTCATCCGTCACCGTCAGACCAATCTAGTCAAACTGTTCACCGACGACTATCAACCCACGCCGGTACGTTCGCATCGCAACAGCACAGTCAGCTGATGCGGGATACCCGGACTTCGAGGCGCTGAATGAATGAATGAATGAATGAATGAATAAATGAATGAATGAATGAATGAATGAATGAATGAACGGATGAATGAATAAATGAATGAACGGATGGGTGAATGAGTCAATGAATGAATGAATGAATGAATGAATGAATGAATGAATGAATGAATGATTGAATGAATGAATGATTGAATGAATGAATGAATGAATGAATGATTGAATGATTGAATGAATGATTGAATGAATGATTGAATGAATGAATGAATGATTGAACATGTTTAAATTTAAGAGTCGATGGGCTTATTTCTATTGTTTTGATGAGTCGCGTTTAATTTACTTGCATAATAATAATTGGGTACGGGAGTTCGGGGGGGGGGGATGCTGTTGCATTGCCGAATAGGCTGCAGCTGGTGCAGACAGCGATGAGAAAAAGAACGATTGGGCTCGTCCGGGATTTGAACCCGGGACCTCTCGCACCCGAAGCGAGAATCATACCCCTAGACCAACGAGCCGATGGAGTCGGAGCGGGAATCAATTCATTCTGTAAAATAGTTGTCATTCCGCGGCCGTCGCACTGCGCGCGCGTCAACCTGTGCCCCGGACTCGGGTCACCCAGCTGACTCCCCGCTGACTGTCGGTCGTCGGTGCCGCCAGACGTGGGAGGCGGCGTTCTCGACGCTGACGACGCTGGCCGGCGACGTGCTGCTGCCGGACGTATCGCAGTTCGTGCTGAGCCGACTGCGCGACGAGCGCCTGATGGCCGTCACACTGGAGGAGTTCAACATCTATCGCACGCCCGAGGGGACGCTGTACGACACCAGCGTCAAAGACAGGTGAGCTGTGTTTTCCCAATGTACTAGCAAGTAGCAATGCACTAAGGACACTCTTCTGCCGTCCTTTGTCGCTTCTTCCTCGCCGTGCGTCTGACTCCCGGCCTCCTGTCTTCCCATAGCGCCAAGGAGGTGCAGTCAGGTAACATTGCGCGTGAGAGCAAGCTGTACTCGTACAAGGAGCAGATGGAGGAGATTGCGCTTCGTAAGGAGTTGGAGGCGAAACGGGCTCGCGAGGGCCGCGCAGGGCCCGAGAAGCTGACGCCCAAGCAGAAGGAGGCGGTGGCCCAACAGCTAGAGAAGGAGAGCAAGATCCGGAGCCGTGTTGCAGAGGTGAGCGTTCCGGTGGGCTGATTGACGGACACCGGTTCGGAGTGTCCGGTGGTCAGTCGGTGACCGCTTTTGTTCACAGCCTGACGTCTGTTTCTGTCGGTGTTCCGTGTGTGCTGTGTCCTTGTTTTTGTCTCTGATCTGCACCATCGTGTTCCTGCGGCGTGTCCCTGAGGTGCGCGTTGTGACTCCTTCGGTGCCCGCTACGGCCTCTCCAGGATACCTACACGTCTTTTGTGCTGTGACCTCCCCAGTATCCGCTCTGACCTCTCACGTACCCGTTGTGACCCCTAGTACCCTCTGCGACCTCTAGTACCCGTTCTGACCTCCAGTACCCGCTGTGACCTCTCTGTCACCCGTTCTGACCTCCCCGCTCCCGTCACCAGGTGGACAGCCAGTTCAGCGTGGCCGCCTCCCTGCTGCGAGGGGCGGTTGGCGGCGACCCGGCGGCCCTGCAGCAGCAATACACAGAGCTGGTGCCGGCGCTGCTGGCCTCCCTGCAGTCAGCTCTGGCGGCGCCGGTCACCAGCCAGCTCTGGCTGCGGCTCGTCCGACTGGCCTTCGCCAAGGAGGACCACGTACTCGGTGGGTGACGGGATGTCGGCGGAGGGCTGATCTGGGCAGGAGAGCTGGCGAGAGGGATGGTGGGGCGGCTTGGTAGATGTAGCGAACTTTGAAGCCGGGAGTCAGACGGTTTTCGTGGCGAAGAGATTGTGCCTACTTTGATGTGTTTTTTTTTTATTATTATTTAGGTCTTGAAGCCCAGCTGTTTCGGTGACGGCATTCTATACCCGATTTCTTTGCAGCTTCATAATTTCATCCATATTTACGTTTCCTCTCAACAGCGCACCGCACTGACCTCTGCCGTCCCCGTCCACACCAATGCACGTCCCCCTCACCGTCCCTCCCTCTCCCCTGGCAGCGGAGACGGTGGCGCGCGTGACGCTGCGCCTGTGCGCGCCGCAGTGTGTCCCTCACAGCCCCCCCCCTCTCCGCCGGCAGCTGAGACGGTGGCGCGCGTGACGCTGCGCCTGTGCGCGCCGCAGTGCGTCCCCCTCACCGTCCCTCCCCTCTCCCGGCAGCTGAGACGGTGGCGCGCGTGACGCTGCGCCTGTGCTCGCCGCAGTGCGTCCCTCACATTCCCCCTCCTCTCTCCCGGCAGCTGAGACGGTGGCGCGCGTGACGCTGCGCCTGTGCGCGCCGCAGTGCGCCACGGACGCCGGCTGGGAGGCCGAGCGGCCGGCGTCGGCCGTCTACCGGCGGGTGGTGCTGGCGCTGTACGACCGCTGCTCGGCCGGGGACGGCTCGCCGCTCAGCGCGCCCGCCTTCATCGTCTGCTTCCCGCTGCTGCGCCATGTGCTGGAGACGGACACCGAGAACGAGGACGTGATGATCAAGGGACTCAAGGTGAGGAGCGGTGGAGGGATAGGGACAGCTACAGAACACATAATTGACAGGCAAACTCATCGTACTAATGGCTCTACGAACTAAGAACGGATATTCTTATGCTTGTCACTATTTCAGTTATGCCATGATGGCCTAGGTCGATTTCTCTTGTTTTCTTCTTACAGCTGGCTGATAGCTTGCGCCCTTGTTTGTTTCACCCGTTTATCCGCGCGTATCCCGTTCACGAGACAACTCGTAAGTGACAAGTGTCCCGTTCACCTAAGTCTGACGCTGTCTCGTCTCCCCTCTGGACAGCTGGTGGAGATGCACGCCCAGCTGCGTGGCGATGGTGACCTGCTGGACCCGTCCCTGCTGCCGCGAGAGGCGCTCGACAGGCTTGTCCTGCGCATCATCGGTAGGTCATGTCACTTGTCAGGTCAGGTTGGGTGGGATAAAGTGGCGGTCCAACCGGTCACGAAGCCACTGACTCGGAAGGTTCTCGTGATGCGATCCATAATTGTTGTTCTCGCGGGTTAAAGTGTCCAGGATGTAAGATAACTTAGGAAATAAAATTTTAATTTTTGTGCAAGTTCTAACTTTGCCTGGACTTCAAGACGACAGACGTTTTTTGACTGTCTGCATGACGTAACATCTTACCACATCAAGTAAAAATAATTACGAGCGAGCGAGCGCAGCGAGCGAAGTGAGTCTTTTCAATATAACGAAAAAATCTCAGTATGAGCGGCCCGGCCCGGCCCGGCCCGGCCTGTAACGCTTTTGAGAGGCTTATATCTCAGCAACCGCTGGACCGATTGGCCTGCGGTCTTTTTTGTTGGGTAGCCCCATCCCTTCTACCCCGTAATTGACTCCTTTTGATACATCTCAGTGACCGTCGTGGCACGTGCCACGTGAAAAGTCAAGGGTGTTCAAGCTGTTTTGCAAAAGTAATGATTTTGAGAGGCTCATATCTCAGCAGCCGCTTGGGCGATTGACTTGCGGTAATTTTTGTAGGGTAGCAGCATCTCTTCTACCAAAAATAGGATACTCTCGATGCATGTGGGTCACCCCCAGTGCACGTGCAAAATACAACAATAAGAGGTGTCAAATTTGTTCCCATTTTAATAACTCAGTAATTACTGGGGCGATTTCGCTGAAACTTGGCATACAGGTAGGCACCCACCAGGCAATGCATTCCCATGTGTTGCGGTTAGGGCGCTACTGCACGTGCGCACGTGCAGGGGGCGTTTCCAGATCTCGAGAACGGCTGGGCCGATTGCGCTCAAATTTGATACACGGTTGGGGACCGGTTAGTAGGGTGCCGCGCAAAAGTCATTTTGGAACCCGTTTGCACGTGCGCACGTGCAGAATGCCGCCTCCAGATCTCAGGAACGGCTGGGCCAATTGCGTTCAAATTTGGCACACCGCTAGCGACCGGTTAGAAGGGTGCTTTGCACAAGCTCGTTGGAAGTACCCTCTCGCCCTTCCGCACGTGCAGGGCTCACTATCTCGCTCGCTCGTTCTTCGCCCAAAAGGCGTTTTACTGGTAAAGTAAAAATAAAGTAAAAATATCCCAGATGATGCTAGCTCACGTCTAACTGGTTGTCGAGATTAAGCATCAAATCATCCATGACCCCCGCTCCGTCGCACCACCGCATTTTCACCACTCCAACCTGGCGTCTCTATGTTTTTTTTTTTATATGCTCCACGCTCGTCTCTAGTCTGTCCGTCTCCGCCCGTCCTGACCAGCTTTCCGCCCTCTCGCCGCCTTCCCCCCTCTCCCTCCTCCCCGTCCTCCAGCCGTGCACGGCCGCCGGCTGGCCTCCGAAGTCACGCCGCCGCCGCCTCTCTCGGTCACCACCACCGCCGTCACCACGGCAGGCACGGCGTCGGGCCGCGTGCAGCAGAAGGCGTGCGGCGCCCTGCTGGAGCTGGCAGCGGCCGCCGCCGGCGAGGAGGGCTGCGCGGTGGCCGGCAGAGCCGAGGTGCAGGTGCTGCTGGACGCTCTGCGCAGTCCGGTCGACTCGGTCCGGGATGCCGCGCTCCGGGTGAGTGGAGAGGGGGGGGGGGCGGGAAGTGGAGTGGGTGTGGGCGTTGCAAGAAGGTTAGGTAGGGTATGCTGGCCGTTAAGGTAGTGGTTTTAGGACCACTTTATGAGTTTAAACAAAATATTACTCGCATAATTGCGATAGCGTATGCTAATTCTTCTTCCATGTTAACTTAGTCGTACTCACAGCTTTAGTCTATCATGGTCAGCCGTACACAGTATCCGTCAGATCATTCAGTCATGCAACTGATGACCCGTTTCCCACATCTGACTCACACATCTCGTCGTCTCCCTCAGAGCCTGGACGTTCTGGCGGACGTGCTCGACTGTCTGGAGGGCTCCGACCTGTCCGCAGTGCTCGCCGAGCGGGTCTTCCTCGCACGATTCGACGTCTCCGAGGAGATCAAGTATGTTCCTACCGCTGATGATCGCCGAGAGGTGACATTGGGAGAGATCTGATTTCAGCCGTTTGTTTTACTACCTTTTCTTTATAGACGAATAGTTCCGATATAAATGTTCTGTAACAGAACCATTGCAACATTGTCAGTTGTGCCCGGCGACGAACAATGCCGTATAATTTTTAGTCGGCCAGTGACCTGCTGTGATGACCCGACGGCTGTCTGGGCCGCTTGTCGCCCTTTACTGACCTGTTCCTTACCTCGTCTCCAGGTCGGCCGGTGACCTGCTGTGGGAACGCCTCTCGCTCACCGAGGGCCCCTGACTGACCCGTGCTGCTCCCTATCCCCAGGTCGGCCGGTGACCTGTTGTGGGAGCGCCTCTCGCTCTCCGAGGGCCCCTGGATGATCGCTCCGCTGCTGGAGGACGTGGTGTACCCGGAGGAGTGCGTTCAGCGGGCGGCGGCCAGCGCGCTGGCCAGTCTGGTGGACGGACACAGAGACCAGACCGCGCCCGTGCTGGACCGGCTGCTGGCGCTCTACGAGGACAAACTGCAGGTCAGACCGGAACGCCGTCGTGTGGCACTGTGGCTAACGGAATGGTGGATGTTTGAGTTGTTTGGAAAGCTGCTCATAGTCGGCAGTTCTTTTGTGCTTTGTGTCGTGTATCTTTATGCATATGAACAGTGGCAATGACCTTCTTTTTCGCTTTTCAGATGTAAGCCTTGGACCAAAGTGCATTTAATCTCGTGTTCAGTTTGCAGATGCCGTCGCCGTTATGGACGGCAGGGCTTGAGGATTATTAGATGCGCACTTCGGTCGGGTGGTGGAGGAATATATGATTCTGTCTGACACTTTGTGTTTTAGATGACTATCACTCTGTCGGTGCTGGATCAGTTTGGTCGGGTGGGGGATATATGACTCTGTCTGACTCTCTGTTACAGATGACACCCCCAGTACTGGACCAGTTCGGTCGGGTGGTGGAGGGATGCATGACTCAGTCTGGCACTCTGTTACAGATGACCCCCGGTGCTTAACCAGCTTACTCGGGTGATGGAGGGTTGTATGATTCACTGTTGTTTTCTGTGTTACAGATGACTCCGCCTGTACTGGACCAATTCGGCCGGGTGGTGGAGGAGTCTTTGGATATCTGGCAGCCCCGCGTCGGTGTGGCGCTCGCCCTCAAAGCCATTGGACCGTTCTGCACTGACGACCTCATCGCAAAGTACGTCTAAGATCACTCAGCTGTCGCCCATTGCTCACCAAAAGTGTGGTGAGGCGCTATCCTCTGACCTGTGCCCTTCTTTTCTCAACTGCTTCTGTGTCTAGTCTTTTTGCTCCAGCCCATGCCCTGAGAAGTAGTCCCAGCTGAATGTGCTGACCGGGCCGGCGCCTCTCGGCAGGATCATGTCGTTTTTCGTACCGACCGGCCTGGGTGACCGCGCGGCCGACGTCCGAAACGGAATGCTCTCGGCGGCTCTCACCTGCGTCGAGGCTAACGGGAAGGTGGGTGTGGCCTCTGACGTCGCTCAGACAATCGTTTCACTTTCACTGGTGCCGGTTATCGGGCTGTGAGAGCAGGCACAGCGCTCGGTCCACGCGCTCGCCGGCAACGGAAAAATTGTTGTGGTAACTGGCTCGTTGGTCTAGGGGTATGATTCTCGCTTAGGGTGCGAGAGGTCCCGGGTTCAAATCCCGGACGAGCCCACTGTTTAGCTCTGGAGGCATGTGTTCTGTATACGATGGACGTGTGAGTCGTGAGAAACACGGAAATATGCAGGAAATACTGCAGTAGCGGTGGCCTGGGTTCTCATGACAGTGAGGCAGGGCTGGAGTAATGAGAAACCTGGACTCTCACAATTCAGCCCCTGCTGATCTCAGGGCTTTCCCACAAGAACATCTGGCCTTTTAACTCGCTCTCCGCCCTCTGAAATTCTATGCGGCTGGCCGCCACCCAGCTATGCCCACTGACCCGTCGTATGTGTATGTGCATTCAGTCGTCACCAGTTATGCCCTCTGACCATCTGTTTATGTCTGCGCAGGAGGCGGCCACCAGTCTGCTGCCCGTGTTTGACGAGTTCCTGGACTCGGCGCCGGCCACGCAGAACTACGACTCTGTCCGCCAGTCGGTCGTCATCCTGATGGGATCGCTGGCCAAACATCTCAGCAAGACGGACCCCAAGGTGAAGCCGATCGTCACCAAGCTGATCCAGGCGCTGGACACGCCCTCCGAACAGGTACGGATGGAGAGACAGACGGCTTGGACGACTGGACTCTAGTGAGCCAAGGTGGGGATTTTTTGTGTGAGTGTGGGGGGTGGGGAGTGGATGAGAGGAGACCCTGATATTAGCTGGAGTCCACCAGTCCCCAGGTACAGCATTGGCTGTGTCCTGGTTTCGGTTTGCGGCATGACCTGACCTGACCGGACCTGTGACCTCAGGTATAAACCTTGGCGTCCTGTCTGACCTGACCTGGTCTGACTTGTGACCCCAGGTACAAACCTCATGGTCGTACTATCTGACCTGACCTGGTCTGTGACTTCAGGTACAAACCTCCTGCCGTTCCGTCTGACCTGACCCATGATCTCAGGTATAAACCTCCTTGCCAACCTGTCTGACCTGACCCGACCTGTGACCTCAGGCACAAACCTCTGTGGCGTCATGTCTGCCGGCGTTGGTGCCTGACCTGACCTGTGACCTCAGGGTCAAACCTCTGGCGTCCTGACTGCCCTGACCTGACCTGTGACTTCAGGTACAAACTGAAAACCTCCGTGGCGTCCTGTCTGACTTGACGTGACCTAACCTGTGACCTCAGTTACAAAACCTCTGGCGTCCTGTCTAACCTGACCTGACCTCTGACCTCAGGTACAAACCTCTGTAGCGTCCTGTCTGCCGGTGCTGCTGTCTGACCTGACGTCCTGTGACCTCAGTTATAAGCCTCTGTGGTTTCCTGTCTGACCCGATCTAACCTGTGACCTCAGGTACAAACCTCCGTGGCGTCCTGTCTGCCGGCGCTGGTGCCCGCCATCAAGGAGGACGCTCCGGCCATGGTCCGTCAGATGCTCGGCCGTCTGCTCGAGTCGGATAAGTTCTCCCAGCGGCGCGGCGCCGCGTACGGTATCGCCGGCCTTGTCAAGGGCCTGGGCATCCTGGCGCTCAAACAGCTGGAGATCATGACGGTGCTCATCAACGCCATTCAGGACAAGAAGGACTGCAAGAAGCGAGAGGGTGCGTACGATCAGATGCTGGCGACGGACCTGCTACTGCAGCAGTGTGGTGTGGTGGGAATATAAACGTAATGTAGGTTGAAAATCACTATTGATTTCTCGTTTCACAAATGATAGCTTAACCAGTAGCTAGTGTATCTGATACCGGCTGATGTTTTGAATTTGCTCGCCTTTGGTGGTTTCCCCGATGTTGATCAGTCGTCACCCTGTTTGCCTCCCACGCGTACCGTTGACTATCCATGAGAAATACCTCCTCCTCTGTCAGATGACTGAGTGACTGAGTGACCACACCTCTCTTGTTCGTCCGCCAGGTGCGCTGTTTGCCTTCACCATGCTGTGCAACATGCTGGGCCGCCTGTTCGAGCCGTATATCGTACACGTGCTGCCGCACCTGCTGCTCTGCTACGGCGACTCCAACTCGTACGTGCGTGAGGCCACTGACGAGACGGCGCGTGCCGTCATGTCCAACCTGTCTGCGCACGGAGTGAAGCTGGTGCTGCCCTCGCTGCTGGCCGCCCTGGAGGAGGACTCGTGGAGGACCAAGGCCGGTGAGTTGACCGAGCTGCAGGGTGGGGAGGAGAAGGGGGAGCGGGCTTTTCTAGGGTGGTAAGAGTAATGCTTGAGTGTTGATTTTGAATTACTTATCGATGTGTGATGAATCTACTTAGGTACACATTTTTTTTACGTAACCCATGTCTTCTTTTTTCAGCAAATTTTGTTGATAAGTCTTGCGATCGGTTCAAGGAAGGAAGAAAGGACGGAATCGAGGAAAACGTTACCCTTTGCGCGTTTTCTGTCGCGCATATTTTAAGGCTGTACGGGACCGCCATGGGACCACCATTGTGCTCTTCCCTCCCCCGCCTCTCCTCTCGTTACTTGAACTGACCTTTCGGTCTCGCGCCTTTGACAGGCTCCGTGGAGCTGCTGGGCTCGATGGCGTTCTGCGCGCCCAAGCAGCTCTCGTCCTGTCTGCCGAGCATCGTGCCACAGCTGATCGAGGTGCTGGGAGACTCCCACCAGCGGGTGCAGCGGGCTGGCGCACAGGCACTCAAACAGATCGGCTCCGTCATCAGGAACCCCGAGATCCAGGGTGGGTGTTGATATGGAATACCGAGATCCAAGGTAGCTGACTGTACGGATCCCTGAGATCCAGGATAGGTGATAATATTGAAGTCCGAGATCCAAGGTAGTTGATAATATATAAGTCCGATATCCAGGGTAGGTGGCTGAATGGAACCCTGAGATCCAGGGTAGGTGATTACATTGAAGTCCGAGATCCATTGTTCATGATAATATGGAACCCTGGAGATGCATAGTAGGTGCTAGGTGATATCACGGGAAACCGAGATACGTGTTAGGTGCGGTATATGATCCAGACTTCAAGGGTAGACGACGGCAAGGAACCTCGAGGTCCAGGGAAGTTGGCTGTACAGGATATTCCGGTTCGGGGTGATAATGCACACAATCTTTGTCCATTGTGAGCAATGCAGCCCATTGTCATGCCAAGCCGTCTCCCGCCGTGTCGGTTCGTTTCTGACATCCCCCGCCTCCCCCGGCAGCGATCGTTCCGACGCTGCTGTCGGCGCTGCAGGACCCGGCCAACCGCACCTCGCTGGCGCTGACCATCCTCATCGACACCAAGTTCGTGCACGTCATTGACGCGCCGTCGCTGGCGCTCATCATGCCCGTGGTGCAGCGCGCCTTCCAGGTACGGCCACGGGCGGTTCGGGGCTCTGTTCATGAGTTACGGATGCTCACTTGTTCCATCGAGCACGGATTAAACGGTCTCGTAGCTTGATTTAGAAATAAGCTTGCTGGTAAGAACACAGAATAACTGAACTTGTACTCTGGCCTCTGAACAGGTGAACTGACTGAAAGCATTACAAAACTGAGAGTTCGTTTATCAAAAAGAGTAAGTTTTAGCTTGAGCCGTGCTTTCCGACACTTCGTATTGCGGCGGACTGTGACTACTGCGATGTCTGAGTTGTGCCTTCCCCGTCCCGCAGGACCGCTCCACCGAGGTGCGCAAGATGGCTGCGCAGATCATTGGGAACATGTACTCTCTGACAGACCAGAAGGACCTGGCGCCCTACCTGCCGGGCATCATCCCCGGCCTCAAGTCGTCGCTGCTCGACCCGGTGCCCGAGGTGAGCGCCGACCGCCGCCGGGGTGTCAGTGGAGTGGATTTAAGGATCAACCTACTTAGTGGATCGGAAAAGAAGAGGAACTTTTCCGATTCTGAAAATATAAGGAGCTTTACCGATCGATGCTAGAGATAAAATATGTAGTCATTCATCCAATCGTTCCGAAAGGATTTCTTACTTAGCTTGACTGGTGGCAGACTGCTCTCAAAGTGCAGCATGTGTGTTAAAGCGTCTCGGCCTCTTTTAGACTACCGAATGTAACATTGCCCTACCGTATGTAGCGGTGTCCTACCGTGCGTAACGGCCTCCTACCATCTCCTGCACAGGTGCGCAGCAAGTCCGCTCGCGCGCTGGGCGCCATGGTGCGCGGTATCGGCGAGTCGTCGTTCGAGGACCTGCTGCCGTGGCTGATGCAGACGCTGACCTCCGAGCAGAGCTCTGTGGACCGCTCGGGCGCCGCGCAGGGTCTCAGCGAGGTGGTCGGAGGACTGGGCGTCCAGAAACTGCACAAACTCATGCCGGGTGAGTGGAGAATGAAAAGGGAAGCGCAAACGGGCAGTGATGTAATAATGAAAGGAACATGATTTCTGGGGTGAGAAGCTAGAAAGCTGAAGAATTGGCATTTTATTTGTAATTGCCTGAGTCTCTCCAAATTTCTTTCATTGGGTTGCTACAAAGTAAGCGTTTTTTTTTTTGTAGAGGATTTGCACCAGGACGCCAGTGGCTGGTGTCATGGTGACGCGAGGAGACGCCAGTGACTGGCGTCTTGCTTGCCATCAATATTTTGCCACAAATAGCTTTGCACAGTGCACATCCTCATTGACCTCGAGCCCGACTGTGGCCACTTATTTATGCTCTCCGGTGTGTTCACAGACATCATCGCCACGGCCTCTCGGACGGACATCGCGCCGCACGTCAAGGACGGCTACATTATGATGTTCATCTACATGCCAATGGTGTTCCAGGAGGAGTTTACCCCCTACATCGGACAGATCATCCCGGCCATCCTCAAGGTGGGACCCGCGGTCAACAGACGGCTTCTTACAGCTGGTCTACATAACCACAGGTCCTTTCATTATATTCCAAGAGGAGTTTACCCCCTACATCGGACAGCATATCCCGGCTAGCCTTAAGGTGGGACCGCCGGCCGATGGATGTTCTACCACCTGATGTGTTATTGCTGAGGACAATGCTGGCTGGGTTGTGCTGAATGGTTAGCAGATTTTAGATGAGAAATATCTATGGTTCCTTCATGTTATCTTCACTCCAATTACAGCAGTTCTGTTTAATATCACATGTCTGTCGCGTGTTGGCACAACAACCCGGCCGGATCGAATGATGCCTTCACAAACCGTTTGTCCATCCTGTTTCTGGTAGAACACTGATCTCCGGTCTCCACCCACTGCCCGCTCTGACCGCGCCTACACCCTCCCCGACAGGCGCTGTCCGACGAGACCGAGTTTGTGCGCGACACGGCGCTGAAGGCCGGCCAGCGGATCGTGCACACGTACGCCGCCTCGGCCATCCAGCTACTGCTGCCCGAGCTCGAGACGGGCATGTTCGACGACAACTGGCGCATTCGACACAGGTTGGTACCGCGGTGATGGGTGGAAGGGGGAAGGTCACAGTACAATGGGTAATTTGTTTTTGTTTTTTGTTTTGTTGGGTTAGGCCCTTTCGGTCTGGCAAGATCATTTCAGAGCCGGGAGGTTGATAGGATATAGGGGGAGACATTGGTCTGGGCAGGCACCCTAATGAGTCGCCGGGGCTGAGCCCGTCCAGAGGACAGGCCACCCAGCCCCAAGGCACTCACTGCACCCGGCTACGGGGTGCGCTCCCTCGGGAGCAGCGGTGCCGCTCCAAGGGAGCAGCCCGCATGAGATAAAGGTGCCTGTCCAGCCCGGAGGGGGTTGCGGCGTGGAGGAGAAGGATTTCTGTATCCTGAGGATAGAAGCACGGAACGGTGTGGTTTTTGTTGTTAGTGGAAGGACGGGAACAGTCGCGCTATGGCCCCGAAGTGTCGCTTCGACAAGTCTAAGTTATATGCTCAGCTTGTTAAGTCAATCATTACATTGTTTGCCGCAATTTTTGGCTTAATATATTTTGTTTATTTGGAAGTACATGTATAAGTACGTATAGAAGTAGCTCGTCGCAGTGCCGTGTCTGGAGCTCTGACGTTCGCGCGCGGCATTGCTGCGCCGCTCCGAGCGCCGCCCCGCGGCCGTCCGTCTCGTGTCGAGCGGGCTGTGAGGCGGCCGTGTCGTCACTGATAACGTCACGGCTGAGGCCTGAGCCGGTCCGTGATTGCCGAAAAATGCGGTCAGTGGGCGGGATCTGTGAAACGAAAGCGCCCCGGCCGCTCGCTCCTCGCACTCCGGCGGCTTTTGCTCGTGGCTCGTTGGTCTAGGGGTATGATTCTCGCTTAGGGTGCGAGAGGTCCCGGGTTCAAATCCCGGACGAGCCCTGCGTTTTGAAGCGGTTGCAAATTGCAATTGCAATGGAAGGTGCATGTTATGAAGTGCACCTTGCAGAATTGCCAACTGAAAATGAGTATTTGCCGTGTGTGCATAATGCATAGCATTTATCGCTGACGGTAACAACATTGGTAATGAGCATATGTTACTCCATGAAGCTTTAATCAGCTGTCCCCTTCGTTGGATTGTGAGTAGCAGATGCAACACATTGTCGAATACCGATTTGAGAATGCTCATTTGCTTGTGACCCTTGTTGACAATCTCCAATGCCTTGGATGAGAAATGTGTGCCTCCCATCCATGCCGATGCAATCCGGGCGCTCAACCAGCCTCGTCGCCTGTATTTGCACCACACTGTAGGCACTGCTGCGAGTAGTCGTCCAGTATCTGCTGCCTGTTAGTTACACTCACGTCAGGTCCCGGTCTGTCCTATGATGTAACTCTGGCCTGGTATATTCACAGCTCCATCAAACTGCTGGGAGACCTGCTGTACCAGATCTCCGGCGTCTCGGGTAAGATGAGCACGGAGACTGCCGGCGACGACGACAACTTCGGCACGGAGCAGAGCCAGCAGGTGAGGGTTTGGTGGGGTGGTGGGGTGGAAAGAGTTGACGGTAAGAGGAGCCGCATGTCGACATTCATGCGAAAGTGCAGCTTTTTTCTTTAGTGAAGCCATTACCTCAGAAGTATGTATACGAGAAATAATTCCTGAGCGCCATAAAACCTTTGTGTTTTCTTATTATGTATCGCCCAAATAAATAAATTGCTGTTACAGATTTTGCTGCATCTGCCTCTGTATCCCCTGATCATCTGTGCTTTCAGAGTCATGCGGACTAACCACTCCATTTCTACCGCCAGAGTATCATCAAGATCCTGGGCCCGGAGCGTCGGAACCGCGTGCTCTCCGGACTGTACATGGGCCGCTCGGACGTTGCGCTGATGGTGCGCCAGAACTCGCTGCACGTGTGGAAGATCGTGGTGCCCAACACGCCGCGCACGCTGCGCGAGATCCTGCCGACGCTGTTCACCCTGCTGCTCGGCCACCTGGCCAGCACCAGCCACGACAAGCGGCAGGTCGGTATAAGAGGCAGGAGGCTGGGACAGGGCGTGCAGACAATGATAGCCAGTCGATTGGTTGGTGTCGAGGGACGGGTCTGCTAGTGGGGTCCGTTGCGGGCGGCAATGACTTCCTCTCAGCTCGCTTTACAATGTTTGCTATCACCGATTGCTATGTTTATGGCAATGCTCGCTACGCTTATGGCAATCATGCTTGCTACGCCACGTCACATTTCAAATGCATAAACCTCTACCCTGTCGCAGTATGTCCTCACCCGGCACGTTTCTTGTCGTCTCCGACAGGTGGCGGCCCGCACGCTCGGCGACCTGGTGCGGAAGCTGGGTGAGCGCGTGCTGCCGGAGATCATCCCTATCCTGGAGCGCGGCCTGGAGTCTGAGGAGGCCGACCAGCGCCAGGGCGTCTGTATCGGACTTAGCGAGATCATGTCCTCCACTAGCAAGGATATGGTGCTGGCCTTCGTGGACAGCCTGGTGCCCACAGTGCGGTGAGTGGACTGTGGAGAGGGGTAGACTGAAGGGCTGGGGGCCTGGTAGAGTGGCTGAGTGGACAGCTCGGAGTCCACAGTCCGGTGAGAAGGAGTCGAGAGGAATAGGGTGTACTACTGATGGGCTGGGAGAGATAGGATGGCTGTGTGTGTGTGTGGGGGGGGGGGATGGAATGGACGTGGGAATTTCTTTTCTTTTATTGACCCTGGCCCTTTCGGTCCGACAAACCTGCTGCGAGGTCGCTGAGGCATGATGCCTTAGCGGTACGGGGACTGACTCACAGGCGGATGTGCGTGGACTGAGCCTGGCGGGCCTCTGCTGAGTACTGACTGATCCATACCCACAGGAAGGCTCTGTCGGACCCTCTGCCGGAGGTGCGCGCCGCCGCCGCACAGACGTTCGACTCGCTGCACAACACGGTGGGCACGCGCGCCCTGGACGAGATCCTGCCGCCGCTGATGGAGCAGCTCAGCCAGCCCGACCAGGTACGGTGATGTGGGTCGGGGGGGGGGGGGGTGGGACGGCTGATGATGGTCCAGTCTTAGTTATGAACGATGCTGGGTCTCTGCAGTATAACCAGCAGATCAAGTTACGTTACTCTGGCCAATCTCCACGCCTACCGATGACCTCAGCAATTGGACTCTCACTCTTTGGGCGTTCAGCCTATTTTGTCAGCATCGACAGCACAGCAGAGCATTTACACATCCCGTAACCCCGTCGTTCATGTCCTAGCACTAATGTATGACGTTCGCCACCCTCTTCCCTCTCGACAGGCGGAGTACGTGCTGGACGGCCTGCGTCAGGTGATGACCATCAAGTCGCGGGTCGTCCTGCCGTACCTAGTGCCGCAGCTCGTAGCGCCGCCCGTCAACACCAAGGCGCTCAGCATCCTGGCCTCGGTGGCCGGCGACGCGCTGACACGCCACCTCAACCGCATCCTACCGGCGCTTATGTCGGCCATGGGCGACGCCGAGCCGGGCGAGGCGGCTGCCGAGCAGGCCGGCTACTGCCAGTCGGTGATCCTCTCCGTCACAGAGCCGGCCGGCGTGCGTGTCGTTATCGACGAGCTGCTGGAGGCGACGCGCGCCGGTTCGACGCCGCGCCGGCGCGCCGCCGCCGCGCTGCTGGCCTCGTTCTGCGGCCAGACGCGCGCAGAGTACGAGCAGCACGTGTCACAGCTGCTGCGCGGACTGACGCACCTCTTCATCGACGAGGACGACAAGCTGCTCCAGGTGAGCCATACTGGGATGACGTGAGATGGACTTGGATTGGTGTAAACGTTTCATCAGTTTGTACTTGTTGAATGGTGCGGTTAATTATAACCCATATCACTTACGAACCTAGTAATTAGGCATCACTCGCATCAGGACACAGCCCTAATTTTCTAAGCCGTCGTTCTGACGTTGTTTTATATACTCTGGTTCTGACCGCGCCGCTTCCACCCGTTCCAGTCTGCCTGGGAGGGTCTGAGCGCCGTCATCAAGCGACTGGAGTTGGACGACGAGCACAGCTACTACATCCCGGACGTGCGGCAGGCGGTCCGCTTCGCCGCCAGCGACCTCAAGGGACGCGACCTCATGCCCGGATTCTGTCTGGCCAAGGTGAGATATATATCTACTTTGCATGGCGATATGAATTGGGTGTCATTGGGACCGATTCGAGAGTCAATTGTAGATTGAAATGTATTCATTCAAGCAGCGTATGATCTGTGGAGCGGATGGCTCAGTCTTCAATATGACGTCTTGGTCAAATATTATTCACTCAGTGATATCTGGAGCAGTGTGTTTTCACTGTTCGCCGTCCTTTCCCGTCACAGCCAGACGTACGCTGATGATTTCCCTACGTCGCCTTTGCAGGGCATCACGCCGATCCTGCCGATATTCCGCGAGGCGGTGCTGAACGGCGCTCCGGAGCTGAAGGAGTCCGCGGCGCTCGGACTGGCCGAGATCATCCGCCTGACGTCGGCGGCGGCGCTGCGCACCAGTGTGGTGCACATCACCGGGCCGCTGATCCGCATCCTGGGCGACCGGTTCGCCTGGAACGTCAAGGTGGCCGTGCTCGAGTGTCTGGCGCTGCTGCTGGAGAAGGTGGGCCTGATGCTGAAGCCGTTCCTGCCGCAGCTGCAGACCACCTTCCTGAAGGCGCTCAGCGACCCGCACAAGCAGGTGCGCCTGCGCGCCGCCACGGCGCTCGGTCGGCTCATACCGATCCACACGCGAGTGGACCCGCTGTTCACTGAGCTGCACACCAGCATCCGCACCGCAGAGGACACCGGCGTCAGGTGAGGACTCATCGGGGTCAGGAGAGGGTTTTGGGGTCAAGGGAGGATATTGAGGTCAGGGAAGGGTACTGGGGCGGGAAATTGTTCAGAAGACTACCCGAATGGCATTCCTTGAATGGTAGGTGGACGGATATTAGGCGATGCTGCATTAGTTTGCAGCTGTTCACCCTGGTTAGGATTGTTCGCTGTTATTCTGTCTGTCTGTCCGTCTGACTATATTCGTCTGCGCGCTGCAGGGACACCACACTGCAGGCGCTGCGGAACCTGGTCGGCCCGGCCGGAGACAAGATGAGTGACGCGGTGCGCTCGCCGGTGCTGACCACCCTGCTGGAGCTGCTGTCGCACCCCGAGGAGAGCACGCGGCTGGCGGCGGCCGGCTGCCTGGGCACCCTGTGCCGCTGGCTGCCTGCCGATGAGCTGCATGTCGCCTACCGGGACACAATGCTAGGTGGGTGAAGCTTCCTGCACAGTATAACTGTACACTCGCTGCAACACTCGCTGTTTATGCCGTCAATCTGTGCATCGGTCTCAGTCAGCTATCGGCAAACCGGGAGCTAGCGTATTCCATGTGTGAATCATCTGCAGCGGAAAGTTGCCCATTACGATATGTTGTGTTTCACTGAAGTGAAGCCGCGCTGTCCAAGGCTACCTGCGGTAATGCTGGAAGGATATCATGCAATTAGACATGACATGGAGCATCATTTTCTTGTTCTTTTACAGTGTTTTATCATAGTCTTATCCATTTTAAACACGTAATTTATGACGTGTCAAGATTTTTTTGTAAAGAAGCGCGGCATTGTGTAGAATGTGATGGGTGCGGAGCCACCTCCGTAGATCTCCATTGGTGGCGCGTGCCGAGCGCGGAGAATTACGGACTGGTAAGGTCCGCTTGAACGCGGCCATCCATTCTGATGGCGGCCCGATGAACTTTGGCCGCGAAAGGCCGCCGGTCGGCGCGGCCGCTATGGATCTCCTGTCGGAGGTGATGTCGGGGGCAGTTATTTGGAAACGATGCCGGTACGTCGAGCGAGCTCTGGAGCTGGAACGGGACTGGTTGCGGACTCGGCTGCCATGGGCTGAAAGATGGACCGGGCTAACTACTAATGTGCTGATAATAACCTCGGATCTAGCTAATATCTGATGCACCGCGTCGTTGTTGTCAGGCCGTGGCCAATCACATCTATCATATAACTATGCCATCCCACACACCACTCTATCACATCACTAACTGCCGCTTGCACCATGCGAGTGTCCTGACCGACCGACCCCGCCCCTGTCGCAGATGACGACGCGATGCTGGACTGGACGGTGCGCCACGGCCGGAGCGCGGCGCTGTACGTGGCTCTGAAGAGCGCGCCCGATCAGGTGCTCACAGAGGACTGGGAGAAAAAGACGGCCAGGGTGATCGTCAACTACATGCAGGTACGGACGGAGGATACAATTACAGACTACAACTGCTTAGTCTCCGTTTGTCGCACCGTGCGCGAGCGGAAATGTTACGAGACATGAGCGGAGGTGGGGGTGGGAGCTGGTGTTGTGCGCAGGGTGGAAGAATGCACTCGAGTGTTGAATGCCAATCAGCGTGCGCCCAGCCACACCGGTTTGCGGTAGCGTCCAGCTGTTTGTGCAGAGATCTGACCCTTCCGTCTGCCAGCTGCCTGCTTCCAGTCTTACCGGTCAGCGGACGGTACGCTGTTGAAGTGTTCACTGTTACCACACCACGTTATTGGTTTAATTTACACATCTGACCCGTCTGCCCGTCCGCAGTCTGACCGTCCGCCGCTGGTGATGAACGGTTTGCGGGCGGCCGGCTACATGCTGCGCCACCAGCTGGCCGCAGGACGGGCCGCCGGCTCCCCGCTGGCCACGCCGCTCGTCAGGGCCATCAACAACAACAGCAACGAGGTGAGCCCGGCGATCATCCAGATCGCTGCTGCCGGACACTGGGCGTCTCACTAGAGCAATAGCCCGTCTGTCGTTAATAATCCAAGCAGCTCGCTTGCCGTATCGATGCCTTATCACTATTTAAAGAGTGCAGGCCTATCGGTGACCCGTCCCTGACCGTACCGAAGACATTTCGACGAGCCTCTATAATTCCTGTCCCCCTGACGCGATGTTGCGCCTCTGGCCCCGCTCTTGCCAGCAATATGCCGTGGATCATTTGGTCTGTCACTTTCCTGTCACCGGCGGTGGGGCGGACTGTTCTCCGCGGTCCAACACACATATTGTAATTCTGCCAAGGGGCCCTGTGTGTCGGCTCCATTCAGTTCTGATCAAAGGCACGGCCGGGCTCGCTCACTCGATAGTCGTCGCAGGGCAGTGCAGCTGTCAAACGGTATTACCACGCTGAATGAGATTAGCATCAGCATTGCAGACGTCCACGGTTTTCCTGGCCTCCACATCACCTGCGGCTCCCAACAGCCGTCTTTTCCCTTCACTTGTCGCTCCTTTCGGTCCCTTGGGTCCGTCAGGGGAGGTACTTTGTGTCCTGTCACGGTCTGAGACAGCCGCCTTGCCGACGCTGGCAGACCGGACGGCTATCGACCGCCTGTGACACGGGACGGCCACTCACGGACATGTCTCATCCGGAGACCGAGTGGAGTTCGCTGTCGCTGGCCGGGTGCGAGTCGATCTCGGCCGCACGTGCCTGTAGGTCGCGGGGAGGACTAGCAATGGTGAAATTTGTACCCTTCAGTGGTCGAGCCGTCGACTGGGGTGGAACACGGGAGGTGGTTCCGAGACTGGGACTGGGGTGTTGAGGTCGGGTGGAGCCGCCAGCCGTAGGGTAGCAACTGGCGGCCATCTACAGACTATAGGCAATCGGGTCGGTGTAGGGCTCCCAGCTGGTGGTGCGGCGGGTTCGCCTTGCGTCTCAAACATTGAGCATAGAAGAAAGTAGCACAATCCTACATGGCTACTGGGTACGCCGCCCCTCCTATGTCGCCCGGGCCGGCTGCAGCTGTCGCACCGCCCATTCTCCGACGCTGGTGGTTCTACCGCCATCTGTCCGACCACCGACCTAGGGCGGCTGTATTTCGGTTTAGGGCGACCGACTAGGACGGCGAATGCGATGATACTTTCTACACGCTAACCACCCGGCTGGCCACTGCTTCCATTCCGTCCACCTTGCAGGACATCTAACATCCTCTTGAAAGTACTCCGATTCCGACTGGGACTGGATCCCGATCCCACGCCGGGTGCAGTTGAAGCAGGCTGCTGTATGCTCAGGTGTCTCCGTGCCTCAGTGCAGCATCTCTAACCCCCGCTATCTCTCTGGTACAGGTGAAGCAGCTGTCTGCGCAGGTGTGTGTCTCCGTGCAGCACCTCTAACTCCCGCTGTCTCCCCCGCAGGTGAAGCAGCTGTCTGCGCAGGTGTCTCCGTGCAGCACCTCTAGCCCCCGCCGTCTCCCCCGCAGGTGAAGCAGCTGTCTGCGCAGACATCCCCGTGCAACACTTCTAACCCCGCCATCTCCCCCGCACGTAAAGCAGTTCTCTGCGCAGACATCCCCGTGCAGCACTTCTAACCCCGCCATCTCCCCCGCAGGTGAACCAGCTGAACTGTCTGCGCAGGTGTCTCTGTGCAGCACCTCTAACCCCCGCTGTCTCCCCCGCAGGTGAAGCAGTTGTCCGCACAGGTGGTGGAGCTACTGGCCGTCAGCCGCGAGCAGCCGCTGCCCGCAGAGCTGGCGCGACTCGTCATCCCGATGCTGGTTAACGGCACCAAGGAGAAGAACACGGTTGTGCGCACTTGCGCCGAGAGCGCGCTCGTGGCGGTGCTCAGGCTCAAGGAAGGCGAGGCGACGCAAGAGGTGAGCACTTAAATGACGCCAGCCGGTGTTTGGTAGACACTAGACAGGATGCCCACAGTGAATGGCGAATAATACCTTGACCTTTGAATCCGAGTCCGTAATTCATCAATTGAAATTAATAGCCGTGTCGAGTTCAATTAACTGTGCCGTGTCGAGTGAAATCATGTAAATCCAAAGAGCGTAGCTTTTATTATTCATTTCACTGAGTAACGTGTTCAGTCACTATACCAGACATCCATTGGCTGGAAACAGCGTGCCCTTCGCGATTGAAAACGTTGACCGGTCTTATGACCTGTCCTCCGATCTGACCCATTGCCCCCGGTGTGCCCCGCTGCAGGAGATGCTGGCGATGCTCGACTCTGGCGCGCGCGACTCGCTTCAGGAAGTGATCAGTAAGGTGTTGCGGAAGGACGTGACGGCCGTCCAGCAGATTCGTGATCTCGACGAGACGCTGATCAGCTGATATCGCCGCGCCGCGTACCAAGTGATTTATATTGAGAATGAAATACAGAGGGGGTTCTTTGGTGTCATGTGTGAACCGGGAAGGCGAGGTTTGCGGACGGGATGCCGTTGGAGCCCATGATGGTGAAACTACTGAGTCGAGTGGCCTGACCATTGACCAAGTGTGTGTTGCGAAGCGTAAGGCGACAAAACAACCAGATCACCGTATCTTGAATTTTATATTAAACACTATTGATTCAGGTTCCTTAAAACAGCAACTTAACTCTAAGTGAACATGAACCGGCAGGGAAAGGAGAACAACTGACTGGGGACAGGACGGGGCGGGGCGGGGCAGGGCAGGAGGGGTGGCTGGGTGGGCACATCATGCAGCGCTCCGCGCCACTCTCTCGGCCCACTGTACAAAACTAGGTGGCGGCGCCTGGGCGGGCGGGCGGCGGGCGCCGGCCTATCACAAGGGTTCGTGTGTCCGGGCAGGGCGGCGGAATGTCACTGGTCACGACCCGCCGCCGCCGCCGCCGCCGGTGTCCTCGGCTCCCGCGGCGTCACTGGCGTCCCCGCCGTCACTGCCGCCCGTCAGCCACGGGTGGCGCAGACAGTCGGCGGCCGTGGCGCGCTGCGCCGGGTCGAACGCCAGCATCGGCAGCAGGAAGTCGGCGAACGCGCGCGCCTTCTGCTCGGGCCACTCGTACTTGTCCATGAGCACCTCGTGCAGCGCCCACGGCTTCAGCTTGGTGATGTGACGTAGCTCGCCTGGCGGAGCGGACGAATGTCAGAAAGGCGACACCAGAGAGTGACAGTAGATGGGTCATCTTCGGTCAGGGGATCGAGCAGTGGCGGAACAATTGAGTGACGGGTCAGTGACCCGCATAGAGGCAGCCGGACCGAAAATGATCCGATCCAAGATGACCCGAGTCAAGGTAAGACGTGACAGGAAAACACCTTAGATGAACCAATGTGGTGCTGGACTGCCATGAAGGCGGTGCGGAGCTAAACCAAGACAACTAAGGCAAAAACATCAGCGCCCAAGTCAACATCTCAAAACCAAATTCCTTAATCACAACGACGCCAAGACTCCGATGGGCTGACACTATACCCCGTACACACCTTTTTTGGTGAAGAAGTCCCGCGAGTATTTGCCGCTGAACATGATGTGTTTGGGGATGTCTCCGGCGAGCTCGATGATGTGCGCGATGTGGTCCTCGTCGCGACTGTAGTCCTGGCCCGTGTGAGGCTCAAACAGGTAGTCGCCCGTGGCCAGCTCGAACGCCATACACGCCGTGGACCAGATGTCGGCCGGCGGACCGTACCCGGCGCCGAGCAGTACCTCCAGACACCGGTACTGGCGCGTCTGAATGTCCTCCGTGAAATGGTGGTGCTGTGGGGGAGGTCAGGCCAGGTTAGATACCGCTACTGGCGCATCTGGATGTCCGTGAAATGGCGATGCTGTGGGTGGTGGGAGATACTGTTAACTGTTATCAACTTTTGACGCAAACGCTGGAATGAAAACAAACAGCGGAAGCTGACCAAAACAGCAGAAGGGTGATTCACGTTTTACACACTCACAGGGACAAACAGGCCCCAATGTCAGAAATAAAACAGAAATAAAACATTTTTACGGAAAGAGATGTACCACCCTATGCCCATCTCGATCCCGTTTGCAATATCCCCGACTCCGGCCAGATGTAGGTACGCATGCCCCCGCCGTACTTCCCTATCTGCACCCTCCCGGGGACAAAGGTCCGGCCGGCGGCGGTGCCTCCAATCGGCCCCGGCAATACGGCGCCCAAATCGATAGCCGGCGGCGACCGTAATCGGCCGGTGCGCCCGCTAATCCCCGCGGCGGCGGTCATGGGAGGGGGGGGGGGGGTTCCCGTTCTGCTCTGTATGGAGGGTCGCAAACCACCACAGAGCTGGGTGGTCGGCGGGGCGACTCCTTCACTGTCCGCTGCCTTAACCCAGATCTGCCCACCGTATCATTTATGATACGACTAGAGGGACAGCATTACGCGCAGCGTAAAGAGGGACAGCATTACGCGCAGCGTAATAAATCAATTTTCATTAAAATCGGCCCAGTAACGGCCGAGTTAATGCCAGAATAAATTTGGCGTCTCCTCCTGGCCGGCGGTGCTCTGTTCCGGTATTCATTGCCAAAGGTCAGTGACCTTCCGGCTCTGATTTCACCCAGTTTTGCAGCGAAGAAACTGAGCCTAAGGCGCGTGCCGTCTGCTCGAATCCGGCCGCGGCCCAAAATGCTGCAAAGATGTGCCCGCCACGTGCACACCGCTGCACGCACCCCCTCCAAAATTTAATACAACAAACAGATGCACGCGTCCGACTTGCGCCCAAAATTTCACCCCCGTAGCCCGCACCGTTCCAGAGCAATAGCCCGCCAAGCGTGACTGACGCGTCACATACATACATACATACATACGGACATTTTGATTTTTATATATGTAACTAGAGGGACAGCATTACGCGCAGCGTAAAGAGGGACAGCATTACGTGCACCGTAATAAATCAAGTTTCAATAAAATCGGTCCAGTAGCGGCCGAGTTATTGCCAGAATAAATGTTGAGTCTCCTCCTGGCCGGCGGTGCCCTGTTCCGGTGTTCTTTGCCAAAGGTCAGTGACCTTCCGGCTCTGTTTCCGCTCAGTTTTGCAAGCGAAGAAACTGAGGCTAATGCGCGTGCTCTCTGATCGGCGCCGGCCGCGGCCCAAAATCCCGCAAAGATGCGCCCGCTACGTGCAAACCGCCGAGCGCACCCCCACCAAAATTTAATACGACAAACAGATGCACGCGTCTGACTTGCGCCCAAAATTCCACCCCCGTAGCCCGCACCGTTCCGGAGCAATAGCCCGCCAAGCGTGACTGACGCGTTACATACATACATACATACATACATACGTACAGACGTTTTGATTTTTATATATGTAATTACGCGCAGCGTAATAAATCAAGTTTCATTGCAATCGGCCCAGTAGCGGCCGGGTTATGGCCAGAATAAATTTGGCGTCTCCTCCTGGCCGGCGGTGCTCTGTTCCGGTATTCATTGCCAAAGGTCAACGACCTCCGACTCTGTTTTCCCTCATTTTCGCAGCGAACAATCTGAGCCTAGGGCGCGTGCCGTCTGCTCGGCGCCGGCCGCGGCCCAAAATGCTGCAAAGATGCGCCCGCCACGTGCAAACCGGCGAGCGCACCCCCACCAAAATTTAATACAACAAACAGATGCACGCGTCCGACTCGGCGCAAAAATTTCACCTCCGTAGCCCGCACCGTTCCGGAGCAATAGCCCGCCAAGCGTGACTGACGCGTTACATACATACATACATACATACATACATACGTACAGACGTTTTGATTTTTATATATGTAAATGAGTCGCTCGACCGTTGCTAGGCAACCGACTTCCATCCGAAAGACGCCGAAACTTTATTTTGTGATGTTGTGTTGTCAGTCGTGTGTACTATTTCTAGAGTGGGTAACCTTTTCTATATTTCATATATTTTCCGTGTAGCATGATCAAACAAAAACAGCTGCCCACAGAAGTCGTAATTTAGCAGACCCAATAACGCCGACGTTAGTATGCTAACTAGTGCTTTCTGCCAAACTACTCAATTTTGTGGCAGCATAGTACCAAATGTTCAAGCTCACACACGACGTGGTTGAATAGATTCTTGCGCCAAAGCTGGCGTGTCAGGAATGATAACAACATATTCGTATCATATATGATACGGTGGGCAGTTTCTCACATTAGCCTACACAATTACTTGCCCCTAATCCGTACGTTTTCTGGCCTTCTTGGCGCAAATTCTAGACATTCTAGTGGTGGATGACGATGTTGATGGAGGTGACGTCTTGGTAAAACCATCGGAGGCGTCCTACGACACGGACAAGTACTCTGGTGATGACGAGGATGTCACGGAAGAACGTGACCCCAACCGGCATCTTGCTCGGCAGCTGTGTGTTAGGGCCAATGTGCAAGGAAGAATAAGCTTTCCGGAACGCGATTCCGAGTACGAAGACGTCTCGGAGACCTTCAGAGATGCAAGGCTAAGCAGCGACGTTGTTGCATCCCAGCAACAGAAGTCGAGAAGCCAGAAGGTCCTTGAAGCGACATGAAAAGTGGACAAAAGGGAACACATTCATATGAGATGGAGCACGTGCCTGAAGTCTGACGTCGAGTGCAGTGTCACGAAGGAGGATATCTTTTCCTTCTTGTTTATAGTGTCAGGGAACTCGATGTTAAAAGCGTGAAACACCATGGCCTTCCGGACATGCTCGAGGACTTCGTCATGTATAAAGGAAGGGATGTCTCATTTAGAGAGGAATCGCGGTATTTGTGTGACTCGAAGCATGAAAGATGCGTACCGGTGAAGATGATCACAGGGCAGTGCCCTTGCTTCCATTTCAGACCTTTCGTCTCTTTGCTTCGAGGACCTTCCCGAGCTCTGACGCTGGGCCAGCAGCGTCTCCCCTTTACCTCGCATCTCTGAAGGTCTCCGAGATGTTTTCCGTCGGAATAGTGCCCCGGAAAGTTTCTCTTCCTCGCACCTCGGCGGTCAGCCCGAGCATTCAGCTGCCGAGCAGGATGACGGTTGATATCACGTTTTCTTGTGACATCCTCATTATCACCAGAGTATTCATACGTGTCTTAGGACGCCTCCGGTGGATTTTACGAAGACATCATCTCCATCAACATGGTCATCCACCACTGGAATGTCTAGATTCTCTGCCAAGGTAAGTCCCAGTGACTTGAAGACAGACGTTAATTGGTATGTTACTGTCTATCGAGGTATGTTACCAGTATAAGAACTGGCCACGGAATTTGTATTTGATACCTTCCAGCCACAAAAGTAAGCATTATGTCAGAAAGCACTTGTTGACATACTCACCTATAGGTATCTATGGGTCTGGTCAATTACGATTTACTGTTTCCTTGGTGTCATTATTACAAATAAACTCAAAGCTGGCAATTCTGAGACGTTTTCACAAGTAAAATTATAGGCAAATGCAAAGGTGCCATAAAAGTGCGAAAATGCCCAGCGTATCATATATGATACGGCAATTTCCGACAAAACGAGTACAGCCAACAACAAATGACACATGCTGGTAAGCAATGTGATTCAAAAGTACCCCAAAACCAGCGTAACAAAAAAATCCGAAAACATTTTTCTTCTGGGCAGATCTGGGTTAACTCGGTCACGACCGGTCGGAGGACACCCGCCGTGTGACCTGACATCTCCCTCCCTGCCTCCCTTCTACAGCCCCCATCCCCTTCTACATCCCCATCCCTACCTCCCCTTTTACATCCGCATCCCTTCCTGTCCACTGTCCTGTCCCAGCGCGGGCCAGCAGTCCACCTACCGTCCAGCAGGCGTTGCCGAGATCGGCCAGCTTGACGCGCATCTCGCACACCTCGTGGACGGGGTCGGGTTTCCGCTCCTCCTTGACTGGTGCGCCGGCGGCCGGCTCTGTGCTGTCACCTGGCGAGGGGGAGGGGAAGAGTCAGTTGCGATGGACATAGTCGTCACTCAGCTGTTAGCGGCAGCCAGGTGTAGCTAAGCGAGTTCAGAGGTATAAACAGAGGTATAATAACTGAGGGTGGTGGTCTGGCCTCGAGATTTAGATCATAGGGAACGAAAAACACGGCTCATCATATCATTCAGCTAAGGACCACCGGCAAGCAGGTAGAAAGAACTCGTAAGACAATTTGTCCTAACTTTGCCGAGACGCGGCAAGGATCAATGAGGCAAACTTTATCGAGCTCGCCTCCCGCTCCTGCCCGGCACGAGCCATCACGTACAGGGACCCGCAGTTGCTTCTGTACACACTAGTATTTCAGCGTATTCTTTGCCTGTGACACCGTTGGAGGCGAATTGGGAAATGATTGTGTGCTTATTAAAACCACCATCTGAAGGGCTTTAAACTGATGTGCTGCTCTCCTAATTCAGTGAACTTTTTATGGCTATATCAGCAAAACATTGTTTTCAGCGCTTTTTCCTGCCCCATTCCTTCTGAAACCTGGAACCGCTTATTCCATTTACTCCTGCCATCTGACGATGGTCGTGCTGACTGCTAGTTCCGGCGCTAGTTACTGCTCCAGTTTTGCACCCGGCACAAACTCAGACGGCACCGGGCCGTGGCTCGACCATGGGGACTGGGGAGGGTCGGACCGAGCCGACTGCCTGGGGCGCGGTTAGATCGGACGCCCTGCTGGGGAAGGGGACGGGAGTGAGGGGGAGTGGAGGAGGTGGTCACGTGGTCCGTCCAAGCTCGCAGACGACCTGACCTGTCCTGCGCCCAGCCATGTTCCGTGATCCAAAATGGCACGAGAGCTGTGGAATGTCTGGAGGAGACGCTTCGAAAGTGAACTTCAGCAGCACTAATTTACCATATTCTGTGGAGATAAATTAATATTATCTTAATGCAGAAAAAATTATGCCCAAGCTGTATAAGCTGTATCTTTTTAAAAGTTGTAAATATAATTATTTTAGGGACTTATAAGTTTCGTATACACAGTGAATTGTGTTACAATAAGCCGTTTCGCTGTTATGGCTACTAACTGAAGAGTTATCCTTTTTTTTCTCACAGGGAATGACAATACAATAACAATATAACAATACGAATAAAACCAGACGTTTCGCACGAAAAAGTGCCTCCGTCAGTGGCAAGAAATGAGTAATTAGGCATACATGTTTTCTTTCGATAACATCGATGAAGTAGTTATCTTTATTTTTTAAAGATATATTTTCAGCAGTTTTTTAAGCACATCATGGAAGTTTATAAACATTTGTGTATTTTATCGGCAACCCGGCTGGCCAGACCGAGACGGTGCCGCATTTAGTTCTCATCGATGTTAAACCTATACACTCATTTTTCTCCACTGACGAAGGCACGTTGTTGTCCGAAACGTTTGGTTTTATTCGCATTGTTTTTTATATTGTCATTGTCCGTGAGAAAAACATACTCATATGGACTGGTCTCAGTTCATATAGAAATTGTTGCACATTCATCAACACAGATAAAATGAATATTAGCCCTCACCACACATATAAGTAGAGGTAAGTAGACCGCGCCCCCTGTTTTTCACCAATAAATCGCGGCAAAGCGAAGGATTGCGACGATTCTTTGGTGCCCTGGAGTTAATCAATTTTACAACTTCCCGGAAAATTAAATAGCCCTTATCATTTTTGCATCTTGTCTGAGAATTTTAAATCCCTGAACCAAATTACCTTTAACCTGTGATTATTTTTCTCAAGATCATGTCAGGCCAGAATAGCAATTGAAAGTCAGCGCTCATCTTGTGTGTTTCCATAGTCGTTTCGTGACTAGCAACGTGACAACATGTGAAATATACTATCTAGTGTTTGTCTCATTAATTGTTGTGGGTGCCAAGGTCACGTGAAACTCAGGTTAAGGTCATTTACTTGAAATGATCTCGGTTAACTTCCTTAAATTTACACCTTTTTACTGTGGTTTTTAGGAAGTGTTGGTTTGAAATTTAGCACCCATTTTAGCATTTGAAAACTAGGCATACTTAGGTATCAGTTATAGTGCCTATGCAATATGTTGCAAGGCTGTAAGTGCTGGTTAACATTCTATATAGCCGGCAGAACGCCTAATGGGTGATCTGGCGTGACCCGCCCTACCCCAAATGCTTTGATACATCATCTTTGATCAAAGCAAGTGCAAATTCGGAGTCAGAAGCAAGCCAAGTCCCCGCAAACTTCACTTGTAGAAATTCTAGCAGGACCCAATTTTCCGTGCTTTTGGTTATTAACCTGATCTGGAACGTCAACCAGTGACCTAGGATCTCAGCATTGACCAGGACATAAAAATAATTGGCTTTTTCTCGTCAGCGATGACCAGGACCCTCAAATCATCGGATTTCTCTCGTCACGAGCAGCACGCTCTTTTTTATTTTTCAGCGAAGCTCTGGCTCTTTTTATCAAGGGCCGAATGGCTGAGGGTTTCTACGCCCCTCCGCTACATGTAAGACGCTGAAAAGAAATGCCTAAATAGATGAGGGTTAAATATCGATTGCTTTTTAAGTGCCGAAGCCCGAAACACTTTAATTTACTTCGATAGCAGTTTTTAAGACCAACGAGCTCGAATAATATAACTTCTTGAACAATGTAAGCAACACATAAAATGAATCTCTCATATCCTTCATGTCTCATATCCTTCATAATCACCTCGGCAGAATAGCCACAGCACCTACTTGTGGAGTCGTTGTATGTCTAAATAAATCGTGAGAGAAGCGGCTCAAGATTAAGGAACTATGAGACACTTAATAAAAAACGGCATAGATTAGAAACTGCACCTAACTTGCACTGGTTTTTAAGCCTTTTCGTGGCAGACTGGTAGATTAAATTTTAGGATTGATTTCAGCTGATGCTCAAATGGAGCTATTCATTCGTTCATTCATGCGACCATCCAATTCCATTCATAAAAGAAGCCAGTGACAAAATTGTTCATTTTAGATAAGTGTGAAATACAAACTCAATAAAAGTTTAATGATACGGCAAATTTGACAGCATTTATAATGAACAGACAAATAATTTTAACGAATCAAGCTTGCGAGCCCCAAATAGGGGAGAGTGAGGTATAGATGAGCCGAGGGGCAAGTTTAGCCACCCCATGTTTCTCAGCTCCTATGGCGCTGATTGACTTGAGCTTCCATGTGCCGTTCGCTTACGATGCTGCATTCTTTCACGTGAGACGGCAACGTTCTCACGCTCAGCACCCGGTAACATGTGGTATCGCCCCTGATAACTAAGACATGTTTTGCCTTTAAAATGAGATGGTTGTTATCTGCGGTGCATGGTTATCTGCGGTGCGGGTGTCATTAATCGAAAATGGCCACGGGTGGGGCAAGATGAGCCATTTTTACCTGGGGGAAGATGAGCCGGATAAGCCATTGTTGTCTCCGCTGTCGAAAACCAAACTGAGCTGCGCTTGTATCTGCTGAATAAAAATGGTAGGAAATTGTTTTTCTTTGTTGATTAGTGATTTGCAGATTATCTGAAGGATAAAATGATTTCTTTCGTGATAGAAAACTTGACGAGTTATTGGAAGGTTTAAAACAGTCACTTTTTGATGGAGGAAAAGAACTTTGCCATAAGTATGTATGCCATGGAGTAAATAAAAGAGCCCACTCTTCGCCGCGCCCGGGAAAAGAAGAGGTTCGCTTTTTCCATCCATGCTCAACTTTCCCCACGACGTGTCTCAACTTACCCCGCCCATGGGGTAAGATGAGCAACGTGCAAGATGATTTTTGACGTAGCCTTTCAGTACAAAAATAAGCGGTATGAAACATTTCTGGCCACCATTACATGCGCAATGACCACTCTGTCCGTCCAACTCGTAAACGCAGAAAAATGATCAGTAAGTTAGCCTGTAGCTTACGAAAAACAAAAGCGGCTCAACTTACCTCATTCTTCCCTATGTTACAAAATTGAGGGAGGCCATCAGGATCAGGAGGATTTTTTAGGTCATCACAGTATTTGTCAACAATGGTTGTTTGGGAGGCTGGGGAGGGTGGTTACTGGCTCAAAAACTATCCCCCCCCCCCAAATAAAAGAAAACGAAACCGATCATCCGCGAAAAGAACTATTGAGCTCGAACCAAGGTGACGAATCGATTTATATGTATGCAGGATGACTAACGATGCCACTTTTTGACTTCTTGTGTCAAATAAATTCCATCATCTGGATAGCACGTCAACATTCAATTTGACATTTTACAACAAACGTATACTATTTGGCGCGACTAGCCTCATAAATGTTCTGAAACTAAAACCGTTTCTTCGCAATTAACTTGGACCACGTCATCCCAGCTTATGCACGACAAAAATAAAATAATGCTTCAGGATCACTGGCCTGAATTCGAATGCTTAAAGTTTACTCAAAACCGGTGTGGCTGAGGCACTCTTCGCTACATCTCGTGACGGCCACCATTGTGTTGCATTTTTCGGTAAGCTATAAGTTAATAAGGAAAGGATTGGTGAGTGGGTTGAAAATAGCCCCCCCCCTCCACCCCCCTCCTTCTTCTGGAAACATAAGTATTCGAAAGATCTGGCGATGGTTTATCCACCTCCTCTGCCGCCGCGCTGCGAGGCCTCGATTCGTTCGGTATGTGGCTTCCTGAGCGGTCCTCCCCGGAGGCAAGGTGAAAGGTCATGGCCTGTATCATAAATTTATACGTTGCTGAATATGTTTTATAGTTCTTCCAAGGCCTTGCACACCGTTTTATTATATCGGATAAACATTGCACTTTCTTGTCAATCAATACATTTAAAGAAAACTTGATCATAATCTTATACTGCGGCAATTGTAGTTCTGACTTCTGCTTACGGTTGCCTCTTTATGATACGGGCCACCACCACCTCCACTGCGCTGGAGCTCAGGCGTTCTACCCCTCCCCGCTACGGACCGGCCCTCGGGCTAGGTGTGTTAGTATTGAGCGCAAACCTGTAGTAGTCACGTGACTTTCATTCACGTAGCGGGAACGGAAGCTATAGGCGATACCAAGGACGGGCTCTGGGGAGGCAACCGGTGCGGAAAAATAGCACGATTGTAGTTTTGGAAGAATATCTGTTGCGGTAAGAGGAATTATACAAAACATACGTGCTAGGAGCAAACATGTGTTATTCCTCCATACTTTGCGCTACATTTCCTTTCTCCAGTGGCCAGCACTTAGCAAATAATAGCGCAATTCTAAATTGGTAATATATGTGTACAGTAGCAACTGCGGGTCCCTGTACAAAGGCGCAGTGACCAGTCAATTTAGCAGCGCTCCGACGGACCCAGTTGGTTTTTCTCGGTCGTCTTTGTTGTGCCATTGCGCCAATACGCCGCGATGTGTGTTCGCCGGGTTTTTGTATGACCCAGGGGATGAGAATCCAGGCCGGTCGGCCCGCCGGGCTAGTGCGACCAATGGGGCGGACAGAAAGAGAACCCCGGCGGGGACGGTCACCGAGGCCGGACCTAGCGCTGGGTCCTCAGATCCGTACGGGGAGAAGCGGGCAACGAGCTGCACAGATAACTGTACCAGACAAGCTCCGTGATTTGATCTCTGACAGCCCAGACAACAAATAAACAGGACGGTCGTGGGACGGAGCACAGTCGCCCACCGGGTTCAGTTACAGCCCGGCAGCCCGGCCAGAGAGAGAGAGAGGCAGTAACAACATCGGTAATCAATAGCATGTCTCCGTAATTAGCACATGTTAGGAATGGCTACAGTGACTCAGTCATAAAAGAACGTCAACGGAATACTGCCATCTGATAAATATCCACATCCGGCCGTAATGACGCAAAACACTACAGAATGCCTGCAGTGCCTGTTGAGAGAGAAAAACGAGGGACTGAAGGATATTTCATAGGGAAGGAGGATCAGGCCATCTCTGCTGGGCGCGGCTGCGGAAAACTAAAGGACAGTTCCCACGGGACGGAAGGACGGGGCACCTCTGCTGGGCGCGGCGGGTCCCAGAGAGGCAATTCCAGCGGGACAGAGGACAGAGGGACAGGATACCTCTGCTGGGCGCGGCGGGAGTCTGAGCCAGCTTGATCCACTCCTTAGACGAGGACGGCACAGGCGCGGTAGGTATTTCCTCGCCGTCTGCTGACACACACCACACAGACACACATACACAGGCCGGAGAGGAACACGGTAGTGGGTCTTCGCAACAGAAGAATATGAAGATATTGTACAGACAACAAATGACGATAAATAACCTATGACAGGCTACTGAAGAAACACACGAATAAAACATGTGGCAGCGTGGCAAATAATCAAAATGCATCCCGTCACTTACAAATGTAGAACTACTTTTGATGCATGTAGCCTCTAGCTTTAGAGGCTACATGCAGATGCGGTGCAGCAAATAAAGCTCAAAGTTTGCCGGAATCCGCAACCACAATGCGTTATCTAATATCTACCATGACTTGATCTCATCACAACCGTAATCGCATGAAGAAGAAAATAATGCAGCATCAGATGATGTGGGCACCGGCAAAGCACCAGCGACAAACCAGTAAAAAACGTTTTGAAACATCTGTGCATTGCTACAGATGGTGAATGACATACAAAGTTGTGGCTGAGCTTAATGGGAAACACTTGGCAAATTGATTAATTACATCAAGGCTGAAGCTATGTAAGCGTGGTTAACCTTTGATTCCAGCGGGAATGGACCATCAGCGGTGACTGACGGGAAAGGACAATAGGACGGCAGGACGGAAGACGAGGAAAGGAGGTCCCACCTTCGTCGATGGGAGGGCGGGAGCTATAGCTGGGGACGGGAGATCCTACACTCGTCGATTGGGAGGGAGGGAGCTATAACGGAGCGGGGAGGTCCGACTTTCGTCGATGGGAGGGGAGAGAGGAAACTACAGCTGGGGAGGGGAGGTCCGACCTTCGTCGATGTCCACCCAGGACGAGTCGAGGTCATCCTCGGCGGCGGCCGCCGACACAGTGACCTCGGTCAGGTCACGGTCGGCCTCCACACCGTCCCCTGCGGCCGGACCGAGCGCCGGGGGCACGGCACTGGTCTGAGGACCGCCGGCCGAGGCGGGAGAGTCCGCACCAGGAGCAGGAGAGCTGGAGTGGCCGGCCGCCGCGGCAGGAGATCCAGGAGCAGGCGCAGGACCGGGAGAGGACTGGCCGGCGGGCGCGGCGGCTGCGGCAGACGACAGGGGACGGACAGCGAGCACAGGTAGTGGGGTGTCACCTGGGACTGAGAGAGGGTGGATAGAGCGAGTAGAGGGTGGATAGAGGGTGGATAGTAGAGGGTGGAGGGTGGATAGAGCGAGACCTCTACATCCAGTGGAGAAGGATGTAAGTGGACGGGTCCCGCTCCCAGTCAGTGACGAAGACTGGACCCGTAGCTCGCCCCTAGCATATATCGCAAGTGGAAACTAGAGCAATGCACCATCGCGCAGAGCCTACAAATAGAGTGAGCTGCTATTATTCCTAGTCGGTTACCACGCAGGCTACAATATCAGACGGGAAGACTGGGCGGAAACCCGACCATCTATCACACAAATGATGTATCGCTTGTTAGATGAGACCCATTTCTAGACGGGGATTCACAAGCGCTGCAATGAGCTTAAACACATATATAACCATGTGGTCCAATCTAGTTAGGCCATTTGATGAAGTACCCGCCACCGAGACGCGAGTAAATCCGCGCCAACTGCAGCATTATACCGAAAGTGCAAATATGTCACTCATCGCAATCTGCCTGGTAAGGAAAGCCACTCCAAGTACCACTAAATAATTAAATATGACATTCTAAATCATCAAGAAACTAAAAAAGAAATAAATGATACAAGCTTAACGGTCAATGAACGACCTTGTAGATGGCTACCACTCACTCAACAACAAAACGCAGCAAAAAAAAAAAGAGAAAGAAATAAAGGATAGCAGGTGGTGTGCTGACCCCTGCGTGTGCAGCACCCGGTCACCGGTCGTACCTTCCGCGTCGCCCATTGTCGGGCCGTCGCCTGTGTGCGGCGCGTCGCTCGGTCCGGCGGCCGTCGTCTTGGCGCCGGCCGCGCCCGTCCGGTGGCCGTTACAGCCACCCTCGCCGGCCGTCTCCAGGTCGTACGGCAGTGTGACCGTCTCACCGACCCCCGAGTGCTCAATCAGCGCCTCCTCCATGTTGGCCAAACTCTGCCGGTTCGCTGCCGGGACGAGACCAGAGGTGTGAGAGACGGGACGCGGCCGGCCGGTCAGACAGCAAACAATCGGGGCTGCAATCTGCCCACACGGCGCGATCGGCTCAGAGTAATTGCCAGTCTCTCAAAACACGCCAGGAGGCATCGATTGAGAACGCTACAGCAAAAGATAGCTAATTACAGCGCAAGTTATACAACGATCGCGGACATCCACGGTAGTCACGTCACCAATATACACCGATATAACTGTGTACTGCTTGTTATGTTTGCTTGCAGTTTTCAGAGTCAAATCGACGTTGTCTTCCATCGCCATCCACCCTCAACATTGTCCTGGCCCTCCCATCGACCGCCCTGTGTCTCACACATACCCAGTTTGGCCGAGTCGCAGTTTTCCGCGGAGGAGCCGTTCTGTTGGCTGCCGGCCGGGGTGGCGGGCGAGGCGGGCGGCCTCCTCTCGGCGGGAGGGGCCGAGTCGGCCGCCGGCGCGCGGCTGCCGTTCTCTGCCGCCGAGCCCGTGTCGGCGCCGGCCGGATCTGCGGGAGCGGCGGCCGGCTCCTGGCGCAGCGCCGCCTGCTCCGTCTGCTCCCGCTCCCACTGCTCCGTCAGCTCGGCCATCTGCTCCAGACGCTTGGCCTGCTTGGCGGCCTTCTTCTTCAGACGCTTCTTTTTGTTTCTGCTGAGTGTGGACGGGTCCGGCTGCTGCAGATGCTGCGGCGCCGTGGACACTGGAGGAGAGAGCAACATCTCGGTGTTGACGCTGGAACATCGACAATTAGGGCCAGACCACGGGCCAAAACACGGTCCTTGTCGTAAATACGGAGCCAAGAGCATGTTAAGAACATATTGATGCTAGCAAACAGAGCAGGAGTAAGCTTTCTGTAAAAATAAAAAGTGCATCTTTCGTGATATTCAATCGATTCAAATTTAATCCCACTCAAACACACAATCTCGCTTTTACAGCATCGATTCTTCATCCTCCTCAATCACTTACTGAACGATCCGGGCAGCTTGAGTCCCATCTTCTGCCAGTGCGCGGCGTCTGCCGCCAGCCGCCGGACGTGTGCCTCGTCCACGCAGAGGAGCACGTTCTCCGGCTTGATGTCCGTGTGAATGATCTGACACTTGGTGTGGAGATAGTGTAGGCCCTCCAGCACCTAGTGGACGGACGGGGAGGAGCGGGGTGGTCAGGCGACGCGAGTGACAGTCTTCATGAGTCAGCAGCCTCAACTCTTCTGAGAACTAGTCGAACGGTTTCAATTGACGAAGCATGTTACCCGTCATAAATTACACACTGAAACGCTGCACCATGCCCTTCACTTCCCCCATCCTTCCCAGACTAAGACACCCTCTCTGGCTGATATAGAGAGGGTGATCTGCCTGGTCAGGCAGATCACCCTCTCTATAATCCCGTTCCGTACCTGTTTGATGATAGATTTGACGTTCTCCAGTGGGATGCCCTCGTACTTGCTGCGGATGATGAGCTTCAGCAGGTTGTGCCCGAGCACCTCGAACACCATGCAGACGTGGGTGCCGTTGACGCCGATGATTTTGAAGTCGTCCAGGAGCTGGACGGTGCCTTCCCGGAACGGGTCGGTCTCGTCACTGTCGCGGACCTGGAACACGGAGAGAGGAGTCAGCCACTGTTTAGGGGTCAGTGAGGGAGACTGAGCAATGTTATGGACCTCGAGCATACGGGGTCAGCGTCTGCCAACAGCTCGCTGAGATGGTACTGTAGTCACTGTCACGGACCAGGATGCAAGGATAAAATTAGGGTCTGCTCACATCTTGCCGAAGAAAGACTAGCACAGGTGTGGACCTGGGAAATAAGGGGACAGGAGTCGGCGTTTGCCTATATCTAACTAAGGAAGACTTGGTGATGCTAAGACTTGGAACTCTGAACGGGAAAGATCGTCTACCGGCTGCCCACGTATATTCAGGAGACTGGATGTCTATCACATTACGGATCCGACCCAAGCGGAGGAGATTTGATCGGTATCCACGCTGAAAGAACAAGAGCACTCCAGCGATAAATCAATGATATAACACAGGATTACCACCATTTGCCAGTTCCAGTTTGCCACTGTCAACAGTCAATGCGGTGCGGCAAACAAGTGTTTATGATATGATGCTTTCCGGTCTCCAATCGGGTTCCATTGTTAGCTGAATGGCTTTCCGAGATCGAGGCATTAGCGACACAAAGCCGCCGCAATATGAAAGCAATACGGTCTCCAGCCTTTCATAACGCTAAGGCAGAACTCCTGATACACAGTCACCGGTGATCGTCACACGGCACACGCAGGCAAGCCATCATAACAGACCATCGCCGGCCGATGGCAGTAACATTAAATCTGCCACACCGCCTGAGATAAACCGCGGCCGCGCTGCCGCCGCCGCGGGCCAGTCATGGCCGATGGGACGGAGACAAAGGCACGCCGAGCGGCCGGCCGTGGCCCGGGCCGGCCCGGTCAATATCGGGCCCGAGCCGAGCTGAGGTCGACCCGAGACGGCCGGCCGCCGCGGCGGACGGCGGCGCCGGCTGAATCTCAGCCGTCCACACCGCTGGACCCACTCTCCCCGATCGACCGACACACATGAAACGTCTCAACGACCGGCAGCCCTGGAAAGTGCACCCATCAGACACCTCTGCACTGTCCTTCAGACTTATACCCCTGGATTGTCCCCCAAACCTACACCAATGGGCCGTACCTCTTACTGATCCCCTGGACCGTCTATCCGTTGAACGCCCCAGGACCATCTAATCCACTGACACCCCTTGGACCGTCCCTCCCACTGGCACCTCTGGATCATCCTTCCCTCCGTCACCGCCCCTAACGACGTCCTCCCTGGCACGGCGCACCGGGCTGGCGGCGCGTCTCCGGGAACGAGCCGGCGGCAGCGGCCACAAATCAGGCCCATCGCCGGCAATCACCGCCGCCCCGCGCCGATCACGTACGGGCTATGAGCCGCAGCGCGCCGGGCAGTCTCGCAGGACACGCCGCCACAGTCCGCCGCCGGCCGACCTTTGGCCGCGGGGAGCCATTGATCGGAGCGCGGCCGGCGGGCGCGTGTCACTCTGCCGTCCTGACCGAGTCGCCGCCCGCACGACAGCCGCATACCGACGGCCACACGGCCGACAGATCAGACGGCCAGGACTTCACACAGTCCGTCTACTCGCAGACGGATTACCAGGGTATAACAGCGCCAAAATTAGCATGTGTGCAATTCTCCTCAGTCCTCACAAGTTTTAGTTTCATAACTTACCGCAAATGCTTAAAGTTACGTGGTAACAGTGCAACAAGCAGCGGACCGTAGGGACAACTTGGTACTGGTAATTAAGATATTTCGGTACGTGCCCCGTCTTCGTCGACCCCATGCCGGCCGCCCTGCCCCGTTGGCCGGGCAGCGTCGATAACCACCAGCTGAGCCCGATGTAATGACGGTCACCGGAGACCGATCAGGAGTCTTCCATACCGACTGCTTCCCAAGAATCGTCATGGACCGCCGTCACGGCGTACGTGACGTCCATGCGCGTGATGGGGGGGATGATAAGTTGTACCGACATTCCGACCAGTAAGTCTACCAATACCATCGGCATCGTCGTGTCCAACTGTCTAGCCAGCACGAACTAGACTGTCTAGACTGTCAGTAGAACTGTCTAGAGCACGGAACAACGATAGAACCGTCCATTTGGGTGGTCCGGTGACCAGCTGGTTTCCCGCCGCCGGCCGCGCGGGGGAGGGAGCCGGAGTGTGAACTGCCGGCTGCGAGGACCGCCATCAGTCACGGCGCCGCCCCGCCCCGGCCAACTGCGTCAGCTGAGAGCGGGGCGGGGGCGGGGGCGAGCGGCCACTGACCCACCGGCGCCCACACGCTCTCCAGTCGACACTGCCAGTGACACAGCCCGATCGGACGGGTGAGCCGTGCCCCATGACGCTGCGAGCCCGCTCCGACAGAGCTCCCTCCGCGCGAGCTGCCCTCCTGGGCCGTCGGATCAGCTGCGGACGGGCCACTGCGCTGTCTTCTCCGAACGATAGTCGATACCGAGCTGGGAATCATGAGAGGGGCGAGCGTACCTCCCGGACCCTTCCAGGCTCCATGACGAAATAGCTGACTGGTTTGGAATTCAAGATCGGCTCATTGGACCTACCAGAGTTGATATCTCAGTGAGCCCACATCTGAACAAGACGTCACTCCGCCTGCCCAGCCCGAATATCCAGTTCTGACTGGTCTCTGGGCGAGTATATTGGTCGCATGCACTGCTGATTGGCTGTTTACGAAACCTAGTTAGCTTCATTACCGACTGATCCAATTGTTCAGCGTAATACCAAAACCTTCACGCAAAAGCAGCCTGCTCAGCACGCTAGTCTGGCCAAGTTCCATGCAATACTAGGTGGTTCCACATGAAAATATGCGCGATTTCATTCAGTCTGACTCGCTCATGCGGCGAATACGAGTGTATTTCATTTATTACTGAATAGGTAATTAGTATGCGAATGGGTGAGTTCATTCCCTACTGACTGGTCCATCAAGCAGATGAGCTTGTTTTATTCATTCCTGTGCGATTTATCGGGTGAGCTGGGCTCATTCATTTAGACGCTTGCCATCAGCTAGACCTCTCGCTGACGTATAGCCCCAGCAGACACAGTAGGACCAGCTCTGCCGCGTGACCGACGGACGGGCCGCGGCCGGGGCCGGGGGTCGCGGACGGCCGACCCAGATCGATTCCACGGCCCCACGCAGTCATCCATCAGGTCCTGCGCACGCCAGCCGCGACCCGTGCTGCCCTGAGACTCGGTACCTGTACCGGGCGTCCACCCAGGCAGTCCACCTGTGCCGGCCGTCCACCCAGTCAGTCCACCCAGTCAGTCCACCCAGTCAGTCCATCTGTACCGGGCGTCCACCCAGTCAGTCCACTCAGTCAGTCCACCCAGTCAGTCCACCTGTACCGGGCGTCCACCCAGTCAGTCCACTCAGTCAGTCCACCCAGTCAGTCCACCTGTACCGGGCGTCCACCCAGTCAGTCCACCCAGTCAGTCCACCCAGTCAGTCCACCCAGTCAGTCCACCTGTACCGGGCGTCCACCCAGTCAGTCCAGTCGTCACAGTCCCCAGATATCCCCATGGAACGATCCAGGGGAATCTGCGGGCCGGAGTCAATCGCAGACGGAATCACTGCAGCCGGTAGCCAAATCCGCAGCACCAGAAAGTCTGTCTCGGCAAATCCTCTGACTGTAAACGTGACATTTTAAACGTCGACCCCAGCTGACAACTTGTCTCCTCTAGAGAAGATTACCCAGCAGCGGCAGTTTCTCTGTTAATTACAACAGACGCGATGCCGGGTCAGGACATATGCATCCGTCAGTGCGCCCCTGCCGCCGGCTGCAAACAGCCCCCTCGCCGTGCCGGGCCGGGCCGGTCATCAAATATGGATCACCGGAGCGGCAGCGGCACGCAGGCCGCCTCTCATCACGTTCGGCCGCTCTGAGTGGCCGCCGATGGACGCGAAAACTACCGACGGAGAGGGAAAAGGAGGGGAGCAGAGGGGAAGGGAGGAGGGGAATAGTCGGCAGACGCAGACTGTGTGTTTTGCCCTGGAGGCATGGTAAATATGCACACTGAGAGGAGAATGACACATCTACAGTGAGATGGAGCGCCACTTACGCATTTCAGCAGTTTGATCTCGTCCAGCGCCGTCTCCGTGTAGTGGCAGGCACTCTTCACCACCTTCATTGCTACAAAACGCTTATCCCTGAAACGACAGAAAATAGGAAATGAAGCCGTAGGTCAACAGATTAAGTCTAAACTTAGTCTGATATTAAAATATGTCTGCCAGCACTTGGAATGAAATGCAAATTTAGCGAGTCCTCAGTTTTGAACGGATAATCGATGCCCAGAAATGACGCAATGAAACAGCCATGCATAGGTTTTGCACTCCAAACCTGATGCGTGACAATTGGCAGCTGAAGAGACGGACAAACTACAAACATTGCAAATGCTAATAATACGGTGAGCTAGAGACAACAACACTATCTAGCAAGACCAGCAGCGCGAGATGTTCCTGCCCACGTACCGTATATCCCAGCAGAGCCAGACGGTGGAGAAGTGTCCCCAGCCCAGCTTCCTGATGACGTGGTACCGGCCGTGGAACATGTCGCCAATCCGCACCGGGTGGTAGCCGCCTGAGGGCACAAACATACACGGACCATGAGTCAGGCGAGATCTTGCACGATGAGAAACACGTTAAACGTATCTGTGAAGCAGCTGGACCTCTAAGGACGAACACAACATACACTTCAATGCAGCGCAACTAATATTGAAGTACGAAATACATTTCTGAATCTAAATCAATGAGTGTTCTCTTTTTAGTATTTCAATGACATCAAATAAGTTCATTTTCTCATGAATCTCATGTGATGGTGACGGCGTTACATCTTTAACCACATGACAGATTCTCGTTACGAAAAGTCCAGCAGAGGGTTTGAAAACTTAATAATAGCCGCCCAACTTCGGGAATCTGTCGGCGGAGTTTCGGCCGCAGCGGGCCGCCCCGGTGGGCGCTGGACAGATCTGGTCGGACCGCACTTCCCGTGGGGAGCGCCGGGATGGGCGGCCGTGCGGCAGTGGGTGCGTGGGGACCGGACTAGGCGGGACACAGGGTCCCACGGGTCACGACAGGCCACCCGTCCCACAGCTGACACGGTAGGACGACAGGCGGTAACTCGCAGCCGCTCCAGCCGCTCCCGTATTAGCAGCAGTTCCCAGACCATTGAACGGTGGGTTTGGGAACCACCGACGCCCACACGCTCACAACGTTCAGCGCCGCGCAGAATTTCATAAAGACGTCGGCCTTTGAAACAAAGGTCGGACAGCCGGGGAATGGCGAAACAGCTAACAATCTACACGGTCGGAGCGCCGTGCACAGCGATATAGCGCCGAAGGTTGCAGTGAGGTAATGACTCTGTGATTCCCCACCGAGAAGACGAGCCCGTAAAACAAGTTAGCAATGTCGAGAACTGGCTCCGCTGGTCTGAAAACTCATTCAGTCCGAGATTAGGGGTCTTTACGGTCCGGGGAGTCGCCACAACTCGGCGGCCGCCGTGTGATGACATCGCCGGAGGCGGTCCGAGGTGAACACGACGTCAAGGCAGCGGTCAGAGGTGAGCGTAACGTCACAGCGCCAGTGGGAGCTCTGAGTGACGTCACAGCGGCGGTCCGAGGTGTCTAAAATCACTGAGACAATGCAAGGTGCGGCTGATGTCAACCACCACCCCCATGTTCCACTCCGTAGGCATCCCTGGGCTGTCAGATTCACCGGCGACAGTTGTGCGGCGCAATCACCGACCAGCATCGACACAGCCGGTGGATGAACAATCTACACGGCCCACACACATGTGGTGTAAATCCCCTCCAACGACCGGCGATTTCACTGTGTTCATGAGCCGTATGTTCAGCCCACTATGTTATTACTACCTGCCCAGTATTGCCCACCCAAACGCTTGCCAATCACTCGAAACGGAAATGTAGGTGTTCACTGTCCATGAAAAGTTGTTCAGCTGAGTCGCTCGCTTCAACACCACAGGTGCGCCACCCATATTACCCACACTTTGCAGCGCCGCCCAGATTTCTGGCAGCTGCCACATTTCCCAGCGCTGTCGGCTGTCTTCTCCAGGTCAAAGCCACAGTGTCAGGGCCCAGGAACTGAGAGAGCACTCAAACAGTCTGTTTCCAGAACCATCCTGACCCGGCAGAGGACGGTATCCAGCGACTTACAGACTCCAGAAAGATTGAGCGGACAGACTGCAAAGTGAGGCCGGACTGACTGTTAGCATGCTTCGGATCCACCCAGTACTAATGCCGAGACGAATGCTGGGTGACTGTTGAAAAGAACCCGGGCGAACTCCATCGACCGGGCTGACCAATCTCTGACTGATTCTGTCTGACTGGCGGATACCTGAGCCCCACCTGACAGACACAGACCCAACTGTATCTTCATTACCCACAGCTAGAGAAGGATGCCTTGGTCGGGAGTCGCTGCGGTCGCCTGTCAAGTCAATATCTGGCCAGCATGCGGCATGCGGCATGGCCCGGGCCCGGCTGAGCTGACCACTCAGCACCAGGGAACCGGTAACGGTGGCAGGTCTGAACACCTTGCGGCTTGCAGGCTCATATTAACTGCATTTGGTGGCATTTTCGTGTGTCAGTTTCAGTTCTTGTGCCATTTCAGTGCCCGACCTCTGTCCTAAACTTATCGAATCGCAGTGCATTCCAAAGATGGCGACTCCCCCATCCCCCCCCCCCCCGGATCGTACCACCTCTCCGGGTTAAGACCCTGTGGACGCCGTTATCCCCGGTTTATTGCCGCTGAAATGAGCGCGGATGCCAGAAGCTGGTTCACATGCGGTCCGGAGCGCCGGGCCCGTAATGGACCTGCGTCGCTGGAGGGCATTAGAGTACCGGGGGAGATCATTGAAAAGACCGCCATACGACCAGAGTGGGGCGGAGTCCGGAACAAAGAGCTTCGTCCAATGATCAGGTTGGGATAATATCAGAGAACCACGCCGTCTGAAAGAGAAAGGGGGTTGGTGACAGCATTGGAACGGCTAGGGCAACAGCGACAGTGTCCGTTTATTCTCCAGTAAAGAAGTTACAAATCAATATCCACCTTGCTCTGCTGGGTCAAAGCAACAAGTGAATGTTACAACTGACTTCAGTTCACCGACCAACTGAGCTGTTAGTCAGACTTCTGCTGTCCACCTGACCACCTCACAGACCATCAGTCCGTTGCTGCCGGTCGGAATGACAGTCAGCCGGGCAGTCCAGGCGCGTGTCTTCACAAAGAGCGGCGGACAAAGCCATCAGCTGGATGATGCAGCCGGAAGCGCGGGCAGACTCACTCAGTCCCAGACAAGGGACTGTCAAGTCAAAGTCAAATTTTGAGACCCATGTTCCGTTCCCAGTCAAACTTCCACACCGTGTTTCATCCCGAGTCGGTTATTCGGCACCGTCCTTCATATCGAGTCAAATATTGAACACCGTGCTTAGTCCTGAAGCAAACTTAGACACCTTCCTTCCAAATGCAGTCACAAAGCGGCACCGTTCCCTCTGCAAACATTGCACAGTCTACCCAGCACGGTGTTGACGGGTGGTCAGAGCCCCGGTGACCAGTGGTCGGTGGCGTGCCGACCGGTCGTGCCCCGCGGCCATCAGGACCGCTGGACCGCGCGCTCATTAGGGGCGGCTCCCGCCGGCGGTGACGGCGACGATGACCGACAGACGCCGTGCGTGTGGCACCTCACCGTGCCACCCGGCGAGGAAGGATCGGCGAGCACACAGCTCAGTCGGTGACTGAGCTTTCATGACTGGATGACTGGAAAATAAACTAACCGGAAACTGTGAAAAGCATGAATGAAAAAAGGGGCAGCGAGCGGACAACAGACTCTGGACACCACTGAAAGCACCACGCTAACAGTACTCTCTGCGTTGAAGGCTGCGATATCTTTCAGATGTGTTACCGTGCGAGCCCGCGGCTATCGGACCTTATCATGGGTCGATGTCACTAATTTATGGTACGCGATATATCACAAAATGACCCGAGAGACGCAATCATAAAACCATTGATAAAATACCGTAAAAGCTGCAATTTAAGCCGTATCTTGCCTGGCAGAATGATTGCTCATTTCGTCAGGAATAGACTTACAGCACATCATTGCAGGGCTGACAAGCGATTACTCAAAGTTCATACCACGTGATGGTGGGCATCGATCTCATTTCAAACGAACCTGAACGGTGTAATCACCACAGAAATGCCAGGTCACGGATAAATGAGTCTGCCCCAGGGGTCGACCTTTTCGTAGCCTTTTTTCGTCACCCCTCTCTCGCCCAGCACACAGCACTGCGACACAGAGCTCGGGGCAGCGGGACCGACCGGGGCTGCAGGGCTGCAGGCGGTGTGGACACTACTGACTGCGCCACGGCCGTCTGGGACCGCGACCGCGAGCGACTCGCGAGTAGCCCGCGGCGGCGCGCCATCCGTGTATCCCTGCAGCCCATCCATCGCCAGCCACCGCCGTCGTATCGTCCCCGCGACCGGCAGGCCAGTCGACTGATAGCCCGGGCGGGGGATGAGGCGGGGGGGGGGGAGCAGCTATGACCTGACTGGTAGGTGGAGGGGGCAGGGGATGGAGTGTGACTCTCACTAGCTTGTAGCTGAAGGGCATGTTGAGGACGGAGCCGGTTCTGATCTGAGTGGTGGGCAGGATTACCGGACAAATAATCAAAACGGAAGTCGGAGCAGGAGCAACGACGCGACGGCTCTGACTTGGCTGGTAGTCAGAGGGCAGAGGCAGAACCGTACAGCCTGGCTTCTAAGTATGTCCCGCCAGGCGGAGGACGTCTCTCACCTGGTTTGTAGTCGGATGGTGCCTCCTGCTCGTCGTCATCCGACCCCCGAATCTCCTCGTCCTCCTCACCCTCGTCCTCGTCATCGCTCGGCACGCTGTCCTTCTCAGAGACGCTCGTCTCCGTGCGCGACGACTCGGTCCTGAAGAGACGGAGGGAAAGGGCGGTCAAAACACTGCTAAAAGTGGTAGGAGTAGGCAGAGCTGTGAGCGATGACTCGGCTCTGGAAGAACGCTACGACAGAGTGGTCAAAACACAGAAGCGGTGTGAGTAGGCAGATCATGAATACAAGGCAAACACGGAGACGAATGGAGCTCTAAAGAGAGCTCTGTGTCTGGGGGTGGTGCTCTGCATACGAAAGAATGGTCGATTATCGGTGAACGGGGGCGGCGGGAAGAACTATACATAGATCGTGGGATGAGCGACTGTTACATATTACATAACTACATGCAAAGTTCAAATGAAGTCAGAAGTCAGAATTACACGTCGGTCAGCACATTTAGCCCAGCGGCGCCGCCATACCATCAATTGCCACCCAACTGCCAACACACAAGCCTCCTCAGATGCCGCACAGCTTAACACACACAGCGCAATACTGGACCGTGGCTTGTCAAAGAAAATAAGGAAGACAATAGGAAAAAGAAAAATATTATGATGGTAAGCTCCCTCGTGGTATTCGTAGAGTTGACCATATTATCTAAGATCAGTTGCCGCAGCGTTGCCTCATATAATGTACAGCCGATTTCGCTTGCCGTCCGCCCTGATCTGTGGAGGAGCCGGCTGTGCGACTGATCCCATGAATAACACTGAGCTCGGCCCCGCTGCAGCGCGGCCGGCCGGCCCGGAAGGGGCGCCGCTGCTCCTGACAGCCATTAGGCCGATCACACCAATGAGCTGGTCGGCGGAGAGGGCGCCGCGCTCTGACGGCGTGACTCACCGGCCGGCAGACTGCTGACTGACCGTCACTGACGGCCGTCCGTCCGTGAGGCGCTGTCACTGTCACGCCCGGACACGGGCCCGGTCAGCCGAGTCACGGGTTCAGGGAGACGAGTCACGGGTTCAGGAAGACGAGTGAAGAGTTCAGTCAAACGAGTAATGCGTCCATGAAAGAGTCACTGAGTGCACGAGACGAATCAAAGGTCATGAGGAAACGAGCTACGGGTCCGGAAGACCAACAGGTGGTCATAAAAGACAAGTCACGGGTTCGAGGGACGTAAAAAACATGAAGCAACACGACTTAGGTGTGCAGGCCGCGCAGCTCAATAAACCGATGCCCAACGAGTAAAGATTTATGAGCCATTTATGACCTAAGCCTTGAAAAATAATCCACGATCCCGCTGCGAGCTCGTCTCACGATCACTGGATAAGTCACTCCGCCGGCCCGCTGCGGATCGCCCGGCCGTGCAGCGCAGCCACCACGGCAAGCCAAGGACGAGCCGGCGCCGGCACTGGGTCAGTCGCGGCGGCGCGGTCATTGCGCTGATCTACGGGCAGCTCCTCTGAGCTACCGGAGGCCGGGCGGCACGGTGAGCGATGGTCGGCTCATGAGGGGCACCAAGCCGGCGCAGCTTACCCAGGCTGACGTCAGTCGGCCGGCGCCGCAGACACTGAGGTGATTACGCCAGGCCGCGGCGGAGCTAACCAAACACACGGCTATTGCCACACGCTACCAATACATACAGTTATGGCCACATGCCATCAATAAACAGTTATGGCCAAATCACGGAGGTAAATATAGATCGCATTCCGGAGCACGAAGCGAGCCAGTCAAGATGCCATAGCAGCCACTCTACATGAAGTTTGGACCTTTGTCATGGGTGGCTTGTGACGACATGACTGTGTCGCGTCAGGGACTGGGAAACGTGGCAGGTCAGACGAAAAATACTCATTATCCGAGAGCCCGGTGAGCTCCGTAGCTAACTAGCCCCAGCGCGGCGACATTTCGGCGACAGCGGCGCGGCCGGAGACGGCAGTCGCCGGTCCCAGTTGACCGGGCACACACTGCGTCTCTCTCAGTGACGTACTGTGAGCTGCTGCTGTCCCACGAGGTGGCGGGTGACCCGCCGCCGGGCGAGGCGGAGCACCGTCGCAGGCGGGGCCGGGGTCGGAGGCCGAGCGGCTCCGACGGCCACAGCAGGCCGACCAGCCGCTGCAGCCAGCCGATCAGCGACGCCGGCACACACAGACACATCCAGGCGAGCCACGGTGTCTGGGTCACTGCAGATAGCACGGACTGCGCCGGCACCACGGTGGTAGGAGTGACGCCGACCACCAGCCGTTATAGGACTGACATACCGGAACTAGAGGTTAGCGAGCGGGCTACGACCGTGCTGTCGCCCGGCAGAAGGTCAGGGGCGGGTCTGTCAGATGTGCCATCGCCGGCTGACAGACCGACCGTCACGGCCTCTGTCAGTAGTGTCACAGCGAACTGGAGGCGCCGCGGTACGGCAGCTTTCCTGGTCTGTGTGATTCATGTTCCAGCGCTCTTTTTTCGGTGATGGAGCCACGGAAGCACAAGTCATAGGCAGTGCACCATGACTGCTTATCAAAACAACTCCAACTTCCATTGTGGTGGTTGTTCGTGTGAGGTTACCCAAATCGGGCAGTTGGTGCCTGTTGTTTACCATTGCAAGTGGCTTGCTGTCGAGTCAAGCGCGCACAACACATGTCCCAACCATGTGATTAGCTTTTGAGCAATAGACAGCTTGTAATTTCAAGCTTCGGTTCAGTTTGGTAGGCCCATGGATCTTCACGGCACATAGTTAACTGTTTTAAAGGCGATCAGGAAATCCTGCAATCACATGCACGGCAGTTCCGCCTCTCCCTGTGGCAAGCAGGCAAATGTGAAACGGACCGGCCAGCGCACGATTGGACTGGAGTTTCCCTGAGGAGCGCCAAGTCACCTGGGGAAGCCACACCGTCCCTGCTATGTGCTGCCTTGAAACGGCTGAGTCGGGTTCTCTGAGGGCGGGTCGGGTCGCCAGGGAAGCCACACCGTTCGCTCAGTGTGCCACTGGGTGACCGGTTGGCTTCCCGTGACCGACTGGGCGGCACGTGCGGTCAGCGGTCACAGTCGAGAGCCGGGTCGGCAGCTCAGAGGACGGTCTCCGAGAAACCGGGGTCATTTTCTGCAGCTGACGCCATCAGAACTGCGCTGGCTCCGACTGTCGCACTCTTTAAGGGCTCAGAAACAATCTCAAAGAGCGACATAAGTGTTCGTAAGTTTCCGTTACGGCTGCTGATAACTTCTGAAACTGTAATGAGCCGCCTGCAGAGCCCATCATTTGGCTGGAGTCACGTCCAAAGGCACCCCCTCTGACCCCTACCCTCTCTCCACCAGCCAACGGAGCTGGCGTAGGAAGGACACGAAAGTCAGCTCCCCGCCCCAGCGAGTGAGGCTGTCTGTGGCCCCCATCGGCTGATCCCTGCAGCCTCCACCGGGCGGTCGGCCGTTCATTCATGGCGCCGAGCTCTGCACGGCTCCAGCCGAGCCCACGGGCGCGGCGCCGACTGACCACCCCTGCCAACACAAACGACCTGCCCCCGCCCCGCCCCCGGCAGCCCCTTCGACACACATACACACGCGCCGCGAACACACGCCTAATGGTCCGCAGTTGGCGACCGGCCGCCTGGAGGGCTGCCGGGTCATCAGTTCACACCGATTGGCCACCGGGCACTGCACCAGCGAACCCACAGCTGTGAGAGTCACCGAACCATCCGCTCAATCCGATCCCTCAACCGGGCAGTGAACTAGCGCTCCAACTGGCCGCTGCACCAACGGACCAAATATAGACGATGCAACGGAGAAATTCATTTGAGAAGGCGTTGGACCGATGATTCAGCATGTGATGAGAAACTACTTCGAGCAGCTCCAGAGTTAGCTATTTACTCATGGAAAGAACGATATGCAGCTGGTGTCAGCGGTGGCGATGAGTAGACACGTGCCGGGTAACAATAAATAACTTGATCGGGTGATAGGGATGAGACCTGCGCAACAATGCCTGCAATGCGTAGGTTCCGACATAAACATCCATTGTAGTCGCCACTCTCGAAAAGTCTCGGACACCACAACGCTTACGTAACAGGCGATACACCAATACGACGACGAAGTCACTCCTTCAACACAGCGACGGCTACTGTGAAAAAAAAATCGATGACAAACCAATGCAGCGATGGCAGCCACAGGCTACCGAAGCAGACACTCCGTTCTGGGCCGGTCAGCGTCCCTAGGCGTATGGTTTGTGTACGATACTGACTAGCACGGATGCCAACGTGCGATACGCCAGAAGCCCACAGTCCGGTGGCCACCGGCCAGTCAGTTACCAAACTCCACGACAGGCCGGCGCCAGTGGACGGTCACTTCAGTGCGCAAACCTCATCACGGGCTGGTGACAGAAGCTGATGGCTGCCAAGGCCCGCACCACGGTGGGGCACCCATCCTTGCTATGGAGGCATCATTGGCCTGCCATATTCACTATGGCCAGTCATCCCACGACCCACCAACACCCGTTTCAGGGGCCGACTAGGTGCGATCGGTCCAAACAGAGGGAAGCTGTGCCTGTTGCACTGGATCGAGGTGTGATGAATGAATTCACGCCCGACAAGCAATGTTTATCCAGGAATGCTAATGGCTGACCCAGATCCCAGCGAGCAATCACAAAATGCCAGCGCGGTGCTCAATTTAGATCAGCTGGTGGATTTGATGTCATCATCTGTCTCATTAACACTGCATGCTGGTGTATAAATAAAAGTTCGGATTGCATCTCAAGCCAAAGTTCATGACAACGACCGTAATTCAAATAACACCAGTGACAGTGCTGCATATCGAAAACATTTCGGAGTCGCATATAGTTGTGTCATAAAACCACGGCGCATACCTGACACTGAATCAGAGGCGGATCCAGCTCAGAGTTTTTTTTGGGGGGGGGCAAACCATAACAATTTATCGATTCTTTCCATGCATCGTCCATAGGCGTAATGTTAAAATTATGCCGTTTGGGGGGGCAAATGCCCATTTTGCCCCCCCCCCCTGGATCCGCCACTGCACTGAATGATCTGAGAAAGCTTGGGCAAGCAACGAAAAAAAAGCTTCACGGAAGGAGAGCCATTATCAGTCTCTCACCAAAATTTCAGTTCCCTGCCTCTGACTACATTCACATAAGCTTCTGTCCCATGTCCGCCGCTCCCAGCGATCCGTCAACATTCGCCTTTTCCCAGCCTCTCCTAGGTCCTGTCTTCCGGTCCTCAGTAAGCCCGTGTCCCTCCCCGTGTATCACCGTCGCCCGACAGGGGTGCGCCGGCGGACCCACACCAGCGGACCCATACCGACCGCTCGTCGATGGTGGGTGTATCGACCGAGCTGAGTCCCCGACGGAGGCGGCGGCCGTCCCGAGCCGCCGCAAGGAGCCAGGTTAGCCCGCAAATTGCCTCCACAGAGCGGCGCAAAAAGTGGCCGGCCGTTCGCGGCGCCCTCTCCGTGAGAGGAGAGACTCTGGCGGTACAAAGTGGCCGCTGATGGAGCCATGACGGGTTAAAGTATGGTTCGAGTCGCGGTCTGGCAGGCTATCAGATTCAGAAACCATATCGGTGAAAAGCCGGCACTCGAGTATCCAGCTCGTCTTCCAGAGACTGCGCAAACAGAGTCGGGTGGATTTCCACGTAGCCCGGCAGCTATCAGAATGCACGGCGGCCGCACGGAAGCACATTGTCCGAAATGGTTTGGCGTCCAATCGCTCGTTCCGCCGAATGGACCACCACCGGTGGGCCGCACCCGCCGATGGTGGCACACCTCTCGGTTACATTACCGAGGCGGGGGACACGGGTGACCTCCGGTACCGCGTCGGTAACGACCGGGGAGCGCCAGTTCCGCAGCGCGCCTCACCGACCGTCGGACGGGAGAGAACGGCAGGGGGACATGGGGCGGAATCGAATAGGCTCAGGAGACATGTCTCATGCAGATTGCCAAGCCTTCATATTCATCCCGGGAGACAAGGAATAAGCCGTAACCGACAAAACGCGACCATAACACGACGCGCGGATGTCACTTGGAGTTGGAATGGCACAGCCCCATATACACCGCTGAATTTCTTGTCGCCCGAGTGCGCCGACCGTCCGCGGCCGGGTCGGTCGGCCCGGCCGGACAGACGGCGCCCGTTTTGAAGCGTCCGATCAATATTAGCGCTGGCGACCGGCCAGCTGAGGCCGACGTCGTCACGCCACCGGGGCGCCGGCCGTGACGCCAGTGCGGGACACAACAAAGCCACGCGGCCGGCAGTCTCCTGACGACGGTGGAGCTGACCCACCCCGCGCGGCAGCCGCTCCCTCTGCCAGTGGAGCCATCCGGAACCATCGGAACAAAACACCCGACACGGGGTGTGCGCGAGCGAAATCGGCGTGACGGGAGTGCCGCATACCACACAGGCGGCCAGGCCCGGTGAAGGCCGTCATGCGGAGAGTGACGATCAGTGGAGGGGGTGGGGTTCAGGAGGGATCAACAAAAACGGTCGTCATTCACACACCGTGGCGCGGGAAAACACGGACATGCATGTTTTTCATTCACGGGTTCAAGTCGTGTACGTAAGGCATATCTGTTATCATTTGTTGCTGTTTGTCATTGTGTGCGACTGAGCGTCATTCCGTGTTCCCGGTCGTAAACCGGCGTCATCGACGATTACATGTGAAAGACGGACGGATAGGGCCTACCAGGAACGGCAAACATTCAGACAGACGAGCAGGGTCCGACGAAAGGACAGGTAAACACCCAGAAAGACAGAGTCGGGGAAAGGGACGAGCGGAGAGAGGGCGGGCGGACGGAGAAACATCGATTTCGGCGGGGTGCCGTTGGCTCGCCGGTCGGGCGCCGACCGTGCGGAGCCGTACCTTCCGGCCGTGGCCAGTATCTCGTCGAGCACGTCGTCGCGGAGGCCGCGGCCGGCGCTGCTGACCACCTGGGCCAGCTCCTGGTCCAGTGACAGTTCGTCCACGTCCAGCAGGTCGCAGTCGGTGCTGGCCGCCTCGGAGGCCGGCTCGGCCGGCGGCGCCGGACGGCCCGACGAGACCGCCGCCGTGCCGGACGCCGCCGGCGCCTCCTCGCCGCTCGCCGAGCCCGTCGAGCCGGCGCAGGAGGCGAACGGCTCCGAGGCCGAGGACGCTGGGTCCAGGGCGGCGGCGGCGGCGGCTGAGGTGCGCTCGGGCGGCCGCGAGAGCCGCCCATAGGCGTCGGCGCAGCAGCGCGGGATGACGGCGGTGGGCGGCGGCGGGCGCTGTGGCGGCCCGGCCGGCTGACTCCGCACTGGCGCCGGCGGCCGCGGCGGCGGGCCACGATCAATGGAGGCGGCCGCGCAGTCGGGGCCGGCCGCCGCCGCCGGTGGGCAGCGCTGCGGGCCGGCCGCCGCACACACACCGTACACCGGTAGGAAGGCGGTGCTCAACTCGACATCGGCTGCCGCCGCCGCCGCCGCCGAGCAGGCCATGAGCTGATGCAGCTCACCCGTGGAGGCAGCCTTCCAGGAGCGGGCCGAGGCAGCCAGGCCCGGGTCCGGCACGGGGCTGTCACTCACGTCCAGGCCATCACCTAGTGACGCCAGGCCGCAGCAGCTCGAGCGCAGGGGCGAGCTGGCGCCCGTGTCGGCACACGACTCGGCTGTCCACCCGGAGAGCGGGATATCACACGGCTCGGCGCCGGCCGGCACATCACATCGCTCCGGGCCCTGCTGTCTGTCCACACTGTCACTGGCACTGGCGCCCCTCGGCGCCGCCGGCTCAGACTCTCCCTGAGGCACGTCCGCCACCGCCGCGGGGGCATCAGCGCGCGCGCCATCACGTACCGCACGGGGCGACACGTGCCGCTGCGAGCGCACCTCCTCGGCGTCGCCGCGCAGTCCTCGGACAGCGCACGTGATCACATCGCGCACCAGCTGCTCGGCGTACTGAAGCACGGCCGGCGGACAGGCAGGTCGGCCGCACGGGACCTGCTCGGGCGGTGCCATGACCGGTGCCGGGCGGGAGGGCCCGGCCGGCGGCACGGGCGCCGGGCGCCGACTGGCGGCCGGTCGAGCCGCCGGGCGGCGCCGGCCCGGACCGCCGGCCGGCCGGCCGCTGCGCCAGCTCAGCGCCGTCCCCAGCACGCGCCACACGAGCTCGGCCAGCACGCAGCAGAAGGCCACCAGTCCGGAGAGGGCCAGCACGGCGGCCAGTGCCGGCCACGGCGGCAGCATGGCTACTACTGGCGGCCGCCGCCCAGTACACAGCCGGCGCCGACACATTGGCCGCCGCTGGAGCTGACGGCCGCCGAAATAAACCGGTGACGTCAGAGGCGGCCCGGCCCGCCGCCGCCGGCCCACTGGGTCAGCCAAGGTCAGCCGGGCGGTATCGGTCCTCTCCTGCCGCCGCCCTGACCCGGTCAGACTCAGAGCGGCACGGTCCTCCCAGCCCAGCGCCGAGATGACCAACCCAGCGGCCACGGCGAGCGGTCCCAGCCCAGACATAAACAGCGCCGACACTGCCGGCGAAAGCCCGGCCGGCGGCTATTTCAGCGCGCAGCTCTTCTTGTTTGCGGTGCCAGGCCGGTGCGGTTATTTTTGCAGCGGCGCGGCGCGATCGACGCAGCTGATCACACGCCGGTGTAAACAAGCAGCAGCTGACTGGCCGAGAGAGACGGCAGCGGAGCGGGTCCGCGGCCAGCCGACAGTTGTCCACCCACCTTCATTTCCGCTTTATCAATGAATATCTTCCCTAGCTGCACCAATGACAAGTCTCGGATTTGACTACAACACTATATGGATAAATGACTATATAGCAACACTTCTAGTATAGGAATATATGGCAAACAATAGAAAATGTACATCTACATGCTTCAACATCCGTGTCCGAGTCTGGCTGTCAAGAATCTGGCATTCCAGTTGCATGTCAGATTTGAAAATGATACATTGGACACTGTGACCAAGGGAATGAAATCGACCTCATGAGGGATGATATCGGGGCTCAGTAAATGTCGAGTCTCGAGGAAATCGGAGCGGCGCACGGCGAAAATAAATATACAGTACCTTGGGCAGGTAGCACAACAGAAGCTATCCCGCTGTCCGCCCTGTGTACCCGACACGACCCTTCCCCCGGCAGCAAAGCTACTCATCAGACTCACGCACGACTCGCCGGCCGGCCTCGCCACCGGCGCGGCACGGAAACACGCACATACGAGGCGGCTCGGCGGCTGAAATATCAGACGAGCCGACCCGGTCGCGGTCCGGTGAGCGTGAGACACGCGACACCCGCACACCGCACTCACCGGCACCCGGGCAGAGCAGCCGCCGGCGGAAAGGTGTCCGAGAGACCCATATGAGACCCGATACGAGACGATACGGTGTCAGCGGTAAAAACGACGCCTTCACACGCCACCGTATAACGAACAATACGACGGACTAGCTAAATCCTCTAACAGAAAACAAGCAGTTTTCACAGACAGAAAGCATACGCTACCGTCACATCACACATTCCGTATATCTTTTAGCATTGGAGCGATCTAAATCCTGGCTCTTATCGACCTGCTGTATGCTGCCTGGCATAAAATAGCGCCATCTGGGCCTCCGGGCCGCTCTCAGTTCATGCATCGACCACCAGGAGAGGAGAGGGGTGTCGCACAGAGCACAGGTCACGCCGAGCCAGGGAAGGATAGGAGCGTAGATTCGTCAGGACCGACTTCCTAACGGTTCAGAATGGCAGCCGTCCTCTCCCAGCAGTCCGCCTGGCGGTTCGCGCTGACCAGTTGTTTGTTGGGTTTTTTTGGGCGCGCCGACCGCAAAGGTCAATTCGTGTGTTGGTTAGGGTGGTCCATTTTGCAAAAGTTTCTAGGATCTTTCGGGCCGGGTCGGATTTCTTGTCGATACCATGATACAAGGTTGTGTGCAAAATTTTATTCCGATCGGATAAATTTATCCCGTCCCGCAAAGCGACCAAAGTTTTCCCTATGTTAACAATAACGGGATGAGCGATAATACAAATTATCCCACTCAGTCCACATGTTTCGCTCAATACGCACTGGCAGTCATTAAAAAAAGAACAGCAAAGGAGAGAAACACATCAAAGTGGAATAGGCATCCGTGAAAATAGCATATCTGGTATAGATAAAAGAACAAAATCCACCGTGCATGCCATCATGTACTATTGGTCTCAATATAAGGGCCCAGCGACCTGTAGTTTTAATGCGGTGAATTCTTACCCTCGCCACAGGTCGGGCCGAGTGCATCCCTCCTCCCACCCAGCGTAACCCTACTCGAATTGTGGCGAAGGTGAGGGTATTCACCACATCCGAACTATAGGTCACCTGGGCCCTTATCTTGAGACCAATAGGACCAATATCCCTCTCGGATGCAACGCCCGGTGCAGTGGTGCTCCTCGACCTGAAGGAAGTGCTTTCACTATTCCTTGCCGTGCGCGATGGCGCTAAAAATTTCCCACTGGTGAGGGCAACAGTGCAATACCCAGCTCTCGCAAAGTCGTTCACCACCCGTATATGTGCCGGCCGCCGATGAGCAGTGGTCAAGTCGCCATTGTCTGACCACTCGGCCGAGTCGACTTTGAGGAAATCGTGGCTGGCCCCGAGGGATGTACCGACCGACAGATGCAAACGACGCCAGCGAGCGCTGTCCCACTGCGTCGAGGGCGACTTCGGCGCGGCAGGGTTCTTCTCTCTCAGTCGCTGCTGCATGGAGGTGGCGATCGCCTCTTTTCCTCGACCGTCGTCCCGTCGTTGAAGGAGAGACCGATGGCCTTGCCCATCACCTTGCCCGGTTACCGTCCGATATATGTGTGGTAAGCGGTAGGAGCCTTTGCGGAGGGCGATGTCAGTTCACGATGCTGAGGTCGATCAGTGGGCAGACAGTCACGGTGCTACTTACCTTGAGACGATGAAGGTGGTGAACCGGACCATCGTCCTCTTCTCGTGCTCGGTGAGCGCGAGCTGACAGAAGAGTGTTCTTGAGAGTGTACTTGACTTGAGAGATCTTACGTGTTGATCACCTTTGCCATCCAACGAGCACGTTGCAGGGCAACCGGTTTCAGGATGCTCGCTTCCAAGTCACCGTCCATCACGGTAGTCATCACGGGGCCGCTGCTTCTTCAGCAATGCACGTCAGGATCATCTTGTCGGCGAAGTCGATGAAGTCATTGAGCGGTTTGAACGACACTAGGTCCGTGAGCTGCCACCACTTTACAAACCGCTTGAACGACGGGATCTCGGGAGTCCCGGGCCGGAAGGCGGATGGTGTGAAAAGTTAAAAGATGCGTCATGCATTTCGTAAGAGGCTGTTTCACCCAGCAAGGATTTGCTTCTGTCTGCCAAAACAAGCGCCACATTTCGGTGATTGAGCGTGTGCCTTTTCCAGCTTCAGCGGCCATCCCAGACGCAGGCAAATTCATAACTAGCGTAATGCATTCGCACCTCCTGGCATACAGGGCCTTGCTCCTGGCACTGAGAACAGGAACTACAACAGGAACTGTGGATTATCGTTCCTGCCTGTGGCTGATAGGAAGACTAGATCTATCATTGAGAAGGCTAGAGAGGGTTGGTGCGTTGAGCAGGCAAGCTCTTTGGTAGATAGCCGCTGGCGCGACTGGGCAATGTTGAAAGACAAGTATTCGCCCTATACTGAAGGCTGGTACGTATAATGGAAACTTTGACCGCTTTGCGGGACGGGAAAAAATCATCCAATCTTAATGAAATTTTGCACAGAAGCTTGTGCTATAGTATCGACAAGAATTCCGACCCGGCCCGATGAATCTGACGAACTTTATTTTTTACCATGTAAATGTGGACCACCCTAGTGTTGGTCTACCGGTCACAGTCCCACTCACCTGTCTGAGCGGTTCAGACTGTCGCGGCCCGGCACCTTGGTCTTAGCCGGCGGTCCCTGCTGCTTTATCTTGGCATTGGGACGCCGCGGCCGCTTCTTCTTAGCTTGAAGCGCTCTCACTGTGAATACAGATGTTTAAAGTCAAATCCATGACAGTATAGGTCGAAAATGCAAACATGATTACCAACAACCCAAGCTTAGCAAATGGATTAGCAGGATAGAGCTGTTTGCTCTTCACCTAACCACAGCTTGCCTGGATTTAATCGGAAGAACTATGATAACACATCTACTGGAAGGAGATACATTGTTCATTGCAGTCAGATTTATCTGCTCCACGCTGCAGGAGAGTCGCAGTGGTGAGGATTTGAGGAACATGAACTGCTCTGGGTTATGTGATAAAAAGCTGTGAGTAGAGTATTAGTAAAACAACTATCAACTTATGGCAATTTTCAAAAGTTGATATTGACCCAAGGAAAACTCCCTTCAACCACTAGGTACCAGTACATACATTAATGCAGTCAACCCACCTTTCTTGTTGACTGCAGAACTTTTTCCGGGCATTTTGTTTCTTCTTTAATTCAACAGTGAGCTATGATGGCGTTGTTTCTTGGTCCACACAAGCACCTCTGCAGACAGTGCTAATCCATCATCTTTGAATCTGGATTCATGGCTAAGGTCAGATCTGTGGCTAAATGAAGCTTAGTAGAATGGTTATTTCATTACTGAAGGTAGTACACTGAAACAGAAAAACACAGACATCAATGTGATAAATGGTAGCTAAGGGGAAGCATACATATTTGAAAACACTGATGAAATTAAAACTGCAGGAAGTATGAGAGTTTGTGTCTAAAGAAATGTTATGAAGGACTCTATCATTGTGGTAGAAAAGCCTATTTTGGGGGCAAAATTTTTTCTTCTTGTTACATTTTATAAGCAACAAAAAAGCATGCTCACAGGAAATGCTGCTTAACTGATTTTCCTTTGCAGAAAAAAGGAATTTAACAAAAATGAGTACAAAACTGTTTGCAATTGCATCTAGGTAACAACCACATAACACTGAAAACAGCCCTGCAGCCACTTGCCAGCTGCCTCAAAAATAGTGATGCTGCTCCAGGAAAAAGTACTGGATAAACTGAAATTAACTGGTTCTGCCAAAAGCTACTGATGGGATTCAGAGTCA